CAAATAGCGGTCCTGGTGATCAAGCTCTCTTGCAGAGTCTATAGGAGTCTCACCCAAACACTAACCGAGATTTAGTGAAGGGTGAAGTAGAACTAGTTCTATTTAGTGAACCACAGGTTTATATAGGAGTAATTGCAACAGGGGGTCATCAAACAAAACAATACAAGTCACTCCTTGGAGTCTTGGACAGAATTTGGTCAAGAGTCCTGTGACGGACCGCTTGGTACCCCGACTGGGTACCTCAGTTAAGCTCCCTTCCTAGCTCTCCACTGGGGCAACCGCAGTGCTTCAGCCCCTAGCCACTGCAGCTTGGTTGGGGTCCTCCATCGCATCGAGTCCTGAGTACAGCTTCAAGTGATTAAGCTCTCCTGAGGAGAGTATAGCTGGTCCACCCAAACACTAGTTGAGACTGAGTGAAGGGCGAAAAGGAGCAGGCCACGTTTTCTGCCTATATACACAACCCCCAGCATTGGGTCTCCATTGTATTCAATACAAGCCCCTCCCAGAGTTCTCTGTGCTTGGGAGATAATTGAGCTCAATCTATCTCCCAGGATAATTATCTCACAGGAACAGTGACCCAAACACAAAAACATAAAAACATAAAAGTACCCCAAAACAGCCCTCATCTGAGCGCCCAAGTTCTCCAAATAGCGCTCAGATCCATGCAATATAGTGGAAACATCACCGTGTCAAAGTTCCGACTGGCCGCACACGTGGTCCTATGCCCAAAATAGTTCCAGAGCAATGTGTGCTTTGGCCGTCAACTTTCTGGAGCTCCTGCAGCTGCAATACGGGGTGCTCCGTCTGGCTCTCCGGGAGCGTTTGTTCCACTTAGTCCCAGGCACTTTCCCTCCAAAAAGCGCTCTCCTGGCGGGTCGCAAAGTGCTTCAAAACCCTGGACCAAGTTGTCCGGGAACCGCAAGTTCATCTCATGCCGAAAACAGTTCCATAACATTCGTGGCTAAGTACCGCTGAGGTGACCAGAAACCACTAAATCCTCATGCTAAAATTAGTTCCATGGCGGTCGCAGCTAAGTACCGCTGAGGACCATTGGTGGATTTGTTAATGCGAACGGCCGTCAAGGAGCTAGCGTTCGGTTCCATTAGTAAGAAGTGAAAGAGCCGAACCAGGGGCACCGAGGGAAAGCTGCTAATTGGGCCTGGGCAGGGTAACTCCCGAATGGGGTCTCCGACCTGGACCATAGTCGGTGGGCAGGAAGTCAGCTTCCACACTCCTCCAGGAGTTTGTGGCAAACATTCGTTGGAAGGAGCATTTGTCACAAATCCATAATTGAATTACCTGCCTGACACCAAAATCCATAGCCCAACAACAGCTATTGTACAATAAACTATTCACCGTACCTTCTGTTTTACCTTTTATACACACACACACGCTTTTAATACAATCCCTCCCTTGTCCACCCTCACTCCCTCCCCCTCCCCAGTGCACGTATTCTGAGCAGCTGAGAAGCATTTGATTAGACCAATTTTCTATGAGAAACATTTGATGGGACCTTGGAGAGGGATGAAATGATGCATGGGGGACTGGATTAAAGGTAAGTTTTACATTGTAGTACTGGGTTTTTGGCTTAAAAAAAGGGGGTGGACGAAAACACCAGTGCACAATAGAGCATTATAACGTAAAAAAATAATATTGCAATAGGATTAAAGTAACCATTCCCTGCTACACATCATTCACAAAAACACTGTTAATCGGTAAACTGTGAAATGTCAAGAATTGACCAGAATATTCCACATTATTATCCAAAACAGCCAAACTGGAAAGCTTCTAGGTCTGAATCCCCGGGCCAATTCACAATAATTAATGTTTCAGTAAATATCAGTCTCTTTCACCAGCACTATCTTTTCCGCTTATTTGTAAGTCATTCGGAATTAGGTCACCAATACACGAGGTTACATCACAATTCATCCCATCATCACACATCTCCACACACTGTTAGATACAAACGCATTTAAAAATATTTCAATATTACAGTTATTAAAGGTGCTGTTTTTTTAAACCTATGCAGTGATACAGTGATTTTTCCATAATGACCAGTTACTTGTGACTCAGCACTGAGATATGCTCCATGCTCTAACTCCATGCTGCATCTTTTCATTCTGTTCAGACATACACTTGTCCTCCCTCTTTTACTTCTACAATTATTATTATTATTATGTTATTTATATAGCGCCATCAAATTCCGCAGCGCTTTACAATTGGTGGACAAACAGACATGTAGTTGTAACCAGACAAGTTGGACACACAGGAACAGAGGGGTTGAGGGCTAGAGGGAGTGGGGAAAAATGACACAAAAAGGTAAGGATAGAATTAGACTAGTGACAGTTGCAGAAGAGGAATCAGTCAGGAGCTATTAACAGTTTAATTGATACGCTTTTATGAAGAAGTGGGTTTTTAACGATTTTTTGAAGGAGTGGAGACTGGGTGAGCATCTAACGGAGGAGGGAAGCGAGTTCCACAGGAACGGTGCAGCCCTCGAGAAATCTTGAAGGCGAACATCAGAGGTGGGAGTACGGACAGAAGATAGACATAAGTCTTCAGCAGATCGTAATGGCCTAGACGGGACATACTTGTGTATAAGGGAGGATAGATAGGTGGGAGCAGCATGATGTAGAGATTTGAAAGCAAGAATCAGAATTTTAAATTGACCTCTATATTTTATAGGAAGCCAATGTAGGGACTGACAGAAGGGTGAGGCATGGGCAGTGCGGGCGAACAGGAAGATGAGCCTCGCCGCCGCATTCATTATGGGCTGTAATGGCGCAAGTTGGGAGCACGTAAGACCACTGAGAAGCGGATTACAGTAGTCAAGGCGAGAAATAATTCTCAGATATCCCAGAATTCTAATTATCAGTAAGGCACTTGCTTTATTTGTCGTATTCAGGAAAGCTTGGAAATACATTCACTGTGGCTTTGGACCTTAAAAGACATGTGCATGGTCAATTGTCTGTTTTACTTATCTGATGAACATTGCAGCACTTCCTTCATGATACACTTTTTGACTCTATGTCTCTTTAAGCTCATCTGAGGAAGACCTTTTTCATCTCTTGTCTCTATAAATATTACGTGTATGTCAATCACTTACTGTCAAATATTCTCAAATATTCTAGGATTGAAAAGCACTGCAGAAAATGAGCTATATAAATGCTGATAATAATACTGATAACGGGGCTCAAATGTCTATTGGCAAGTGAAAATCTAGCTCTGGCAAGTAGAAATTCCGCCACGGACCCCTCAGGCTTGCAATGTCAAGTAACTTTTAGGGCTCTCTAATAGCATCTGACCTAAAATTTTTAGCCGTGATAACAATAGTTTTCCTATCATATGTTTCTAGACATTTGATATTATAAAAGTTACTTGTTGCGTGTTGCAGCTCAATGCCTCATCGAGTATATATCATATTGTTGGATTCAAGCAGGTTGCTAACATTCAGGTTGATAGGTGCCCAAATGTATTTGTTGCAGAGGATCAGAAGAAGCCAAGCGTGTCTAATATCACCTCCTGTAAGACTGTGTAGTTTTTCTGTTTTTTGTGCAACTCTATTTGTTCCCTTGTCTTTCTTGAGGCTTTTTGAAATTGTTCATTTTATTTTTTATCTTTTCTTCCTATATCTGATTATCTAATTTACATATTCCTTTTTATTTTTTTTTGCCTTATATTGCACTTTTGTGTTTTGTCTGCTGCGTATCTTTGATCTTTGTGTGTTTTATGTTATTTCTTGTGCATCATATTCGACCTGTCACAATAAAAGAGGAGTCAGTACAACGAGTGGCCCTCTCTAGTGGTAACACAATAACAGAAGAATGACCAAAAACTCACCTGCCGATTAACATTATTTTTCCTCGATCAATTAGCACATCTATTAACTCACATTAATTTATTGTATTTTCCCATTGATGTACACTTCATTAAACTAAACAACAGTTAGTTATTTACATGTACCAAACTGATAAAATTGGAAAAAAAATTCAGAAAAATTATCTGCTTTTGAAAATAGTTTCTTAAAGATTATTCTGTTTAAGTTTTCAAATATGAGGAAACCACAAATATCAGAATGTCCACTAAAATAGTTTTAAATTATGCACACTTAAGAAATGTACTAACCACATCTTTATTTATAATAAATAATACATAGATGCAAAAAAATTTTTTTTAAATTAGTTTCTCTGTCTTTAAATTCATGCTATTGCGGCCTTTATTTTTCTGTGTAAACATTGCACATTGCATGATGATAATGAGTACATTTTGTATGTTAAAAATAAAATGCAAAAAAATAAATTAAATCCAATAGTTTTGATTAATTTAACCCTCTAGGAGCTGCCCATTAATTTACACTTTTAAAAAAAAATTACTGGTGATACCTGTTCATTGTAGTGGGCTAATGTGATATTCATGGATGAAATGGAAGTGAATTCAACTATTCTTTGTCTTTAAACACATTTCAGTAAATTACGGTTAGCAAATTGAATATACTCCACCTCCTCACTTTACTAGGACATTAATAACACAATGGACAAACCCTGTCAACTTATCCCAATTCTTCATTATGTGAAGAGGATGTTAAAAAAACAAAGATCAATTAAACCCTTTATTTTCCCATCGCTCACAGTCAGATTGATTTAAACGTACTTAAAACTTTCTAAAGCTTTCATTCTAGCTGTCATACGTTCTCATTTACTACATATAGAGATGAGCCTTTTTTTTGGGTCATGACCTTTGGCAGACCTCTCATTCCGATGTGTCAGTCACATCACCTATTGATTAAATCATTGAGTATTATTACTTGAAATTCCATTAGTGGTTATGGGTTCAAATGGGTGTTTTTAACAGGGTCATTTTAATTAATTTACTTTTATAACGGGAACCATCAGACAGCCAACTATTTGTACTGTGAAACATTATATAAAAATATATTTAAAAAAAAAAAAGAAAATACTAGTTTCATTTAATGTTGAAATTTTGTAGTTCTGAAATAATTGCAGAATTTTACATTACATGAAAATAGTAGCGCCAGTAGCATGCACCAGGGAGTTTTGGCAGAGAAAAAAAAAGTGTCACACCTATTTGCGGTTGGTGGTTTGATTGAAGATGATGGTTTTACTGCATCAAGAGAAGGGCTGTCTGTTGGATTAGGAGATACTGTAATCACACAGCGGGATACTCTAAATCTTTAAAGAAACCAAAATCTCAGACAGCAGTTCATGATAATCTTTAATTCTTCTTCCAGCCACAGTGGTTTCCTGAGATATAATGAAAAGAGGTCTTTAGGCAGGATCTTTAACCTAGTGTCTTGAATTATTTTATTATCAGCAATTAGAAAGCGCCAATATATTTATAATAATTTTACATTGGAGATATAAACAGCAAGTAACTAACAGACAATATCATATTGACAGATACAAAAAGTGATGAGATCTCTGATCAAGTCATCTCACGATTTAGAACACCAAACAGAATTGATCAAATTGTTGTGATTTGAAAAGTGAAAATTTTAAAGCTGGGACTGTCCATCTGTTCCTCTTTTCTGTAATAATGTATTTCTTTTCTAGGAGCTTCATGTTGTTGGTGTGTCTGAGTGTATAACAGAGCTACACAGCAATAATACTCCCAGTAACGTGTCTGAGTGTATAACAGAGCTCCACAGCAATAATACTCCCAGTAATGTGTCTGAGTGTATAACAGAGCTCCACAGCAATAATACTCCCAGTAATGTGTCTGAGTGTATAACAGAGCTCCACAGCAATAATACTCCAGTAATGTGTCTGAGTGTATAACAGAGCTCCACAGCAATAATACTCCCAGTAATGTGTCTGAGTGTATAACAGAGCTCCACAGCAATACTACTCCCAGTAATGTGTCTGAGTGTATAACAGAGCTCCACAGCAATAATACTCCCAGTAACGTGTCTGAGTGTATTACAGAGCCCCACAGCAATAAAACTCCCAGTAATGTGTCTGAGTGTATGACAGAGCTCCACAGCAATAATACTCCCAGTAATGTGTCTGAGTGTATAACAGAGCTCCACAGCAATAATACTCCCAGTAATGTGTCTGAGTGTATAACAGAGCTCCACAGCAATAATACTCCCAGTAATGTGTCTGAGTGTATAACAGCTACACAGCAATAATACTCCCAGTAATGTGTCTGAGTGTATTACAGAGCTCCACAGCAATAATACTCCCAGTAATGTGTCTGAGTGTATAACAGAGCTACACAGCAATAATACTCCCAGTAATGTGTCTGAGTGTATTACAGAGCTCCACATCAATAATACTCCCAGTAATGTGTCTGAGTGTATAACAGCTACACAGCAATAATACTCCCAGTAATGTGTCTGAGTGTATAACAGGGCTCCACAGCAATAATACTCCCAGTAATGTGTCTGAGTGTATAACAGAGCTCCACAGCAATAATACTCCCAGTAACGAGTCTTTATACTGCAATTAATGTGTTTAGAAATCAATATGTGTAAATAAAACACATTATTCTTATTCTAAATTACATTTTACTTGCATAACTTGTTCAGTAAGACACCTATAATTTCTCCCCCATTCACACCCCTAAAATTAAAGTATCACTTTGTCCATTTTAAATGTTGGGATTGTAGTGGAGAGCTGATTTCCCACAGCTTAACTCCACCAAGTACCTTAACAGGATGCAGGAACAAGTAGTCAATCCAAGAGATATCCAGCACAATCAGCATTACAATCCAATAATATCCCATCACTTTCCCCAATCACTGGACGACAAACAGTATCAGGAGCAGAACTGAACTTTTAATCACACAACCTTCTTTTAAAGCATTCTCCCATGCAAGGGAGGGATTTACAGTAATTACACAATACACCAATCATACACGAATTGCCACCAACACATCCCCTCCCCTTAGTGTGACACATAATCAGTTCCCCTGGTTTTCTGGATGTACCCCTAAACCTAGGACTACCCCTTTAAATATTACACCCCCTGGTAACCCTGATCTGGGTGCGACACATATCCAAAAATCACCCAGATCAGATCAGGGGTTCAGGAGTTATGGGGGTTTAAAGTTTTGTGGAGGTCCTTTTAGGCCCACTGAAGCATGGCTTTCCAGCCCAAACCAGTTCCAACTAGTCTGGCAGTGTGCCTGGGACAATGCCCTGCTGGAAAACAATGGGACAGGAAACGGGGGAGAAGTACACCTTCCTATACACAATCTATACACAGTCTAATAGAAGTCCATACACTGTGCTTAAAGGGCCAGTAGCCGCATGATAAAAATCCATCATGCCCAAATACTGTCTTTAAAGGGCAATACCCCCAGGTCCATAGTCACATGGCAGAAGGCGGGCAAGCAAGCCCCTCCAAAAGCTCATGGCAAACTCTCTTAAAGGGGTGAGTTTGCTACAGGGATCTATGCACTTCTCATTATTCTCCATTTACCATAGTCTTATGCTGTTAGATTCTTGTTGCTCTAGGCCAGGGGTGAGATCGCAGATGTTTTAAAACTACAGCGTCCGTGATGCTTTGCAATTCTAAAGCAGTCTAAAAGGCATGGTAATTGTAATTATTATTATTTATAAAGCACCAATAAATTCCACAGCGCTGTAAAATAGTTCTACAACATCTGGGGCTCTATTTTTTGAACACCCCTACTCTACGGTGAGAGTCTTGCCAGGCCTGTATTACTAGGTGATCATATGTGTTTTTGTTCTCCCCGTAAACTAGACTTGGCATTGTAGTCCTCAGAACTGATACTGGTTTTAACAGGAAATCTGTTTATTATTGGGACACTATAGTCACCAGAACAACTACAGCTTAATGTAGTTGTTTTGATGAGTATAATCATTGCCTGCGGGCATTTTCATGCAAACACTGCCTTTTAAGACAAAAGGCAGTGTTTACATTACCCCCTAGAGAAACCTCCTGTGGCTACTTCTCAGATGGCCAATGTAGGTGCTTCCCGTGGCAGTACTGCACAGTAGGCAGCACAGCCGTTCAGCGTCTTCACGCTCTGAATGGAGATGCTGAATTTTCCTCATAGAGATGCCTTGCTGTGGCAGGTGGGCTAAAGTCTCTCATGGCCATTGGAGAAACTAAATAACCTCCATTTGTTTAAATATACATAGGGATTTGGGAAGAGCGTATGTAACTTTTTTCTTTGGCTTTTACTGTATATATTGGGGCTGATGTGTATTATGGTCATTGCTGCCGCCCAAGAGTGATGGGAGCTTGAGCGCAGGACTTGTTTTTTTGTATTTGTATTCTCTTTGAGTGCTGATTGGACAAAATGGTGTTTAGCCCTGCCCCATCCCACCTCCTTGCCAAATCCAGACAATCCAGTTCTTTAACAGTGCTGGACATAAGGTATGTTTTAACCCCTTCTAAGGAGGTTAAGGGGTGGAGGGGGAGGGGGGCAAGCCACCTAAATTGTGTTCCTGATAGTGATGTCCCGAACGGTTCGCCGAACAGTTCGCGAACGGTTCGCCACGGACTCATCATTGAGTAAACTTTGACCCTGTACCTCACAGTCAGCAGACACATTCCAGCCAATCAGCAGCAGACCCTCCCTCCCAGACCTCCCACCTCCTGGACAGCTCACTAAGAATGCAGCTTCAAAATGGATGCTGTCCAGGACGTGGGAGGGTCTGGGAGGGAGGGTCTGCTGCTGATTGGCTGGAATGTGTCTGCTGACTGTGAGGTACAGGGTCAAAGTTTACTCAATGATGAGTCCGTGGCGAACCGTTCGGCGAACCGTTCGGGACATCACTAGTTCCTGAGCCTATAATGTTCCTTTTAAATAATTAATTTAGGTTCACCACAGCGGTTATTTTTAGTTTTTTCAATGTATTGTTTTTATTAAAATTGTTCATAAGTTGACATGACAAAGAAAAATAAAGGATACGGTAGAGTCACATAATAGGCTGACAAATAAACCAGGTTTTACAGAATTTGGTTTGTTATGCATATTTGTACAGAAACATCAATTACATCCAATGACACTCATAAATTAAACTATATATAGCCATGTTCAGGGTTTGGTATCTAGGACTAGAGTAGTGATGTATTATACAAGGTACAATACATTTTTCTGCTGCAATTAAAACAAGCCAAACCTGGCAAAATTATTGGCTTCACGATTTATATAAATAACTAATATGACCTGTGTCAGAAAATAGAGCCGCTGTGACAGCAACACTTATAAAAGAATGTTAACTTACCACGATTTTTACGATAACATTTTCTTATCCCGTACATTCAAAGGGATATACCAAGCACCATTGCCACAACAGTGCGCTATTGTGGTTATGGTGTCTGGACTGCCATGAAACCCACCAATGTATGTAGTCAAACTGTTTGTTAATTGACTTCTTACCTGGGGTCCAAGGCACACCACTTCCTACCTTTTGTGAAGAACCAGAATTTCTGCCAGGGCTAAACAATCGTAAACTGCACTACAGGGCTTAGTTCATTAGAGGAAGGGCCGACCAGTGGCTTCTAAGTCTCAACGCACCTTTTCCCTGTGCTGTCAATCAGCATAGGAAGAAGATTAAAGCCATATAGATTATGGGAGATTTATAAAAGAGTTTTGCCCTACAAAACAATTAGATGGGCAGTCACCATGGAAACCATGGGTACCATGGATACCAGCAGGCACATTCTATTAATGACTCCTTCCTTTTTGCATGTTTATGACACTTTTTAGAATGGAACACCTTGATAAATCTACCCCATGTGTTCTAATGCTAGATTATAGAGGTAGATTATTACAGTGAAAAAAAACATTTCAGTATGAAAAAGAAATTACATTTACACTTTTTTGTTTACTTTTAAGAATCGCATTTACACATGCTCATACATGGACTTATTCACTAAATCCAACATGGCAGATAATTATTACCATTATTATTATTTATAGAGCACTAACAAATTGTGTATCACTGTAAAATAGGAGGACTTACAGACATGTGTTTGCAACAAGACAAGCTGGATGGACAGGAACAGAGGGTGCTGAGGGCTTTGCTCAAACGAGCCTACATTCTAGAGGGAGTGGGGTAAAGTGGTAGAAGAGCTAAGGAAAGGATGTATTTTATATACAGGACAATGTAGGTGGCTAGAGAATAGTTTATAATGACGGGTTAGGTTTTTTAATGACACATTGCAGGAGAGGAATCAGGGGGGTTACCAAGGTGCGAGGAGGTTTAATTTACAAGGTAATTACAAAATGTATGTAAACATTTTCAGACTTTCTCATTTTTGCAATTTCCCTGTCAATTGTTCACAATTCCTTAACTTGTAAAAAACTCCCAAAATATAGGATAGCATTTCTAAACTTTATCTGAGTATGACTCGCTTTTACTTTTAGCTAAGTATCCTTAAACCCTACCATATTGTCATACAGAAACACAGCATCATATTTATTGGAATTATGGGATGTATAAATAAGACATTTCATGGGTAGATTACTGCTCAATGATACCTAAAAATGTAAATATGTTAATTTAACACTTTTTTTTAAAAGATTTATTTTATAACTCTTCGTTTCTGTGTTTGACCACAATATAGTAGTGGAGAGGGAAAGTGAAAATTATTATTTTAATATTTATGACACATATTGTACCTATAATCGAGTTAAATTATTTAAATCCCCACCTAGAAAAATGTTAATTATGGCACAATCCATTTCTAGGAAAGTCCTAACAATAATTTTTAATGCAGAAGTGGTTTAAATGATAATTCTCACTGTGGCAGACTCAGATCATATTTCTGTTGTGTATCTATGGGTGTTTCAATGTCTGACACACTGACACCAAGTCTGCTCCATGCCAATGTCCCAAGCTGACAGCTCCTCTATGTGCTCAGTTACCTTGGGTCCTAATTCACCTCTCATTTTCTAACCTAGAACCATCTTCCTCCAGCTAGCAAATTCCACTGCATGCATTTTACAGTGCAACTTCTTATTTGCAATAGCCCTGCCTGAATCATATTCACCAATTTCATTCTTCTCTCCCTTGAAGCTTAGAGACCAAACATTTTGCATCTAATAACAGTCGGAAAGTTTACCTGCAACTACAGCATCCCACTGCTCCCTGCATCCCACTGCTCCCTGCATCCAGCCCAGTGTACACCCTGCTTGCTGGCAGTGAGACCCTTTCAGCCTTGCCTGGGATTCTCCCATCATCTACCAGGCTCTCTTCTCCTGCATCCTCTGTACCAGCTCACAGCCAGACCAAGATACACGCTGAGTACATATCATGGGGAGTCTGTCCTCTCCTCTCCTGCTGTCAGCTCTCTTCCTGGTGAACTGTGAGTAATACTTTGCATTATCTTTAATGATGTGACAACGTTCTAGAGCCTAGTTAGTGTATCTGATCATCATTTTACCATCAATGTATCTGTGTATCACTCATTCTGCATTCTACTGACTGAGATGCTGTAACGATACGGGACTTTAAATATATGTAGTAAGAACCCCCATTGGTCCTATATTGTCACAGGGATTGTCACTGTGTTTAAAAAAAAAAAAACCTGCTGTGTTATATATATAATAAATAATAAATAACTGCTGTGCTTTATATATAATAAATAATAAATAACTGCTGTATTAAATAATACATGTATGTAATTTTTCATATTTTTATCTTTATATATATATATATATATATATATATATACATATATATATAAAGATAAAAATATATACATGTTATATATATATATATATATATCTATATCTATATATATATATATATATATATATATAATACACAAGATCCAGCGCACTTATTCACTAAACAGCAACTTCAATGCTGACAGATGTTATTATTTTTATTTTATTTTTTTAAACACCTAATCCAGGCAAAAATAATGGGGGTTTGGTTACATTATATGATCATACATTGCATAAGCCTGCCACAAGGTCAATGTACCCCATTTTTGGCAGGTCCTACTATATATTATAATTAATACTATACGTATATTATTTATATATATATATATATATATATGTATATGTATATGTATATATATATATATTTATAATTTTATATATATATATATAAAATAAAACAGTACATGTATATAACTTTTTATCTTTTTATATATTTATTTTTATATATAGCCCTGATACGTTAATATATTCATATATTCATACATATTAATGTATTCATACTTATTTAAATATCTTTTACAAATAAAAAAAAAATCCCTTTGTTTCTGCATTTTATTTATGCTGAACAATTTTGAGACCTGGAAAAAAATGTATATGTAAATAATAATAAATATTAACTAGACTGGACACCTGAGCTATTTTTGAGCTATAATTTAACAAAGGCCTGACTGAGCATAGTGGCCTGGGTAGTTCAGAAACATGTGGGGTCCAATACTAGACATTGCCTTATGCAAGTGTACAGTAATGCTGAGTACCACTGCAGGAATACTAAGTATCAACAGTGATTTATGTGTTGCAGTGTGCAGTGATGCAGATTATCTACACTCTGTTTGACAGTTGCTTGCAGGATACAACAGTTCTGCTTTTTATGTTAAATGTGTAGGAGGCTGCAATATGCAGAATAATATGTACTACTCCTATATTTATATGAAACTATAAAGGGATTTATCCAGGCATAGGCAACCTTTGGCACTCCAGATGTTTTGGACTACACCTCCCATGATGCTTTGCCAGCATTATGGGTGTAAGAGCATTATGGGGGATGTAGTCCACAACATCTGGAGTGCCAAAGGTTGCCTATCTATCCCTGTCATAGACTAAGAGAAGACAGACATTTAATGTGTGTGCTGGAGGTGTGCTCAATGGGACAGACTAGTCCCATGTAAATAAGTCAAGTGTTGGATTTGCACAAATTCATTTCACAGCACTGTTTGCTGCTGTGTAAAGATAAATCAATGCATTGTGTTATTGTGTGGAGCCTTCAAACAAGTGCACGACAAAAATTATGATCTGTAAGAATTGGTGGAAAGATGGGGTGTGTGGATCAAAATAGAGGGACTGTTTTGGATGAAAAAGGAGGTTTGGAAGGTATGATACGAGTGATCTGTGCAGTGTTGACAGGGGACAAGCAACATTTAGACAAAAATCTGTGAACTGGAAAAAAGAAACATTTACCAGAAATATATAGTTTTAAACTCTTCTGTCTTGTCCTAAAGTCATTGGTCAGCCCGCCTCACTTTGTGCTTTAGTAAAAAGATCTCAATGTACTCCGTACAGTTTGAATCAATTGTTGGATAGTTTTCCAGGCCAGTTTTTTTTTTTCTTTTCCAAATGTAACCATTCTGGCTTCAATCTGCTCCAATCGAGGTTTAGTGAATAAACCCTATCATGTAAACATATTGTTTAAAAAAAATAAAAAAATATATATATATATATTATTACTATTATTATTAATAGCTACTTGTACTAAGTTGGGGAATATGTTAGGACCTTATAAATAATATAGTTAAATGTATTTACTTTTTATTTTTTTAAAATATATTATCTGTGTAAACATAGGGAGGTAGTTTTACTCCATACTTTTACTTTAAGAGAACCTGATGACTGCGTCACTTCTAGGTTAGAACTCACTGCAGAAGCTGCCAAGCCCAGGGGTATGATAGGTTAATGATGTATAATCTTGAAATGCATTAATGGTGGCATTTTATGCACGCGATGTGGTAACCAGGGTCCTGTCACTGCCTCATACAAATATAAGGCAGAGAATACATAATAGCTTTTACTAAGGCATCAGGTGTAGTGAAGCCCTGAATATGTGTCTTATAACAGCACTAACCTCTAACTGGAACATATGATGATGTTAATAACTTTGGTCAGGAACATGGCAAGTCCTCACTACAGGGAATTTTGGGCTAGTGACACATCACTGTTTGTCAAGTCAATATTAACAGAGTTATTAACTAAAGTGAAAATTCAAAGTGAATTTCAAATTTAAAGAACCACAGCCGGTCAAGGTATCAGCGAAGCAGACTCTTACATCACCAAAGACTCGAGGCACTCGGTTAACATCATTAGAAGAGCAGTGCTGTTCCCCCGAAGTGAGGCTCGAGGTGGAACGCACTGTGGTATTCACGCCGTCCTCACCGGCGATCAGAATTTGGATGACAGCATCTGGAACATCATCCTAATCCATCCGTGCCCAAGTTAAGGTTTCTTTGCAATTTTTCTTACCTGTTAGAGACCGGTATTGTGACTGTGGATCTTATTTGATTAATATTTTTTTTAACTATTTTTAAAGTATTTTGAATAAATTGGACTTTTTATCCTCTCAGTTGTTTTTTAACCATTTCTATACTATACAGTATTTGGTGGACAGTGCTGGTCTATCTGTTCCTAGCGAGAATTGTACTTGCTTAATGGTAAACAGTATTATTTGAAGAATTTTATATCATCTGGCTGAGTTATCAGATTATCTTTTTATTTTTTACTATTTTTTAACCAGTATACCGATCAACTAGTTATATTAGTCATCTTGGGATACTTCATTTTCTTGAATTGAAAGACACACTACACAATATCTGCAGAACTATTCTTAAACATCGTTTTATTTTGTATGACTCTTTACAGTCATCTATTTAAACGCAACATTGTGTCATGTTTAATTCCGTTTTTGCTACTATCTGAATCAACAGTAGGCTCCTGGATACTTGTGACTAATGCTTTAGCACTCTACATTTTAAAGGAACGCATGTATTCACATGTACCCCTGTCTATACAGCTGTGAAAACACAGTTTAGATCCACGGCCCCCCCTGTCAGTAAAGTAAAAGGTGATTTTACTCACCTTTATTCCATTACACGTGGTTCTCCTCACGGCTGGCCCTGCCTCCTTGGGTGAGATCATCAAACTTGATGATCTCAGCAAATCCCATGAGAAAGCATTGGGAGGCTATTGCAAATGCACGGCAAAATGACACTCTGCACCAATCAGCATCTCCTTATAGAGATACATTGAATCAATGCATCTCTATGAGGAATGTTCAGTGTCTCCATTGAGGGTGGAGGGTGGAGTGTGCAGCGCTGCCCCAGGAAACACCTCTAGTGGCATTCTGAGTGACGGTATCCCTAGGAAGCAAATACAGTGCCTATGGGTTTGGAACCTGCTGGCATTATTAAGTATGCAGATTCTCATAAATGCCAGCAGAATATAGAATATTATATGGACGAGTTCATAAGGGCCACATACAGTAATGGAGTCGCAGCTGTGAGCGGGCCAGTCACTCGAGTTGGCCTGGCCTGGCCGCAACCCCACCGACCGTGGGCCGTCTGCATACCTTCAGGGCCAGTGTACTGCTGCACCAACCTGGGGCCCGTGGTTGCCTGGTTACCGTCCGGAGAGGAGAGCTGTGCTGCTCCCCTTCTGCCGCTGTGTGTAGCGTGGCAGAGCTGTCTGACAGGAAGAGCTCACTGATTTCCTGTCAGTCCTGGTAACGCGGTTGGTCAGGGTGAACAGGTACACAAGGGGGGTGGGGAAGAGAATGACACATGGAGTGGCTGGGGGGAGAGGGAATGGGACACATGGGGGTACTGGGGAGAGGAAATTACATATATGGAGGTACTGGGCTAGGGAATGACAGTCATGGAGGGGCTCGGGGGAATGGGACACATGGAGGGTCTGGGAGCTAGGGAATGACACATATGGTGGGGCTGGGAGGGAATGGGATACATGGAGTGGCTGGGAGGAAATGGGATACATGGAAGGACTTGGGGTGCGCAAATGACATGGAGGGGCTGAGGGGGAGGGAATGAGATATATGGAGGGGCTGGGGGGAGGGAATGAGATACATAAAGGGGCTGTAGGGGAGCGAATGACACACATGAAGGGACTGGGGGGTGAGCAAATGTGACACAGGGAGGGGCTGGAGAGGAAAGAGAATGAGACACATTGAGGGACTGGAGGGGTGAGGGAATGGGAGACATGGAGGTGCTGGGGGAAAGAGGGAATGAGACACATGGAGGGGTTGGGGAGGAGAGAATGAGACACATGGAGGGGTGGGGGGACTAGGGAATGAGACACATGGAGGGGCTGGGAGGGAACGGGACATGTGGAGGGGCTGGAGGGGAGAAAATGACACAAATGGAGGGTCTGTTGCGGAGGGAATGAGACACATAGAGGGAGTGTGGAGGAGGGAATGACACAAATGAAGGGACTGGGAGGTGAGCAAATGAGACACATGGAGGGACTGGAGAGGTGAGGGAATGAGACACATTGAGAGACCTGGGAGGGGGGTAGGGGTGAGGTAATGAGACACATGAAAGTGCTGAGGGGATGAGGGAATGAGAAACATGGAGGGGTTGGGGGGAAGAGAATGAGACACATGGAGGGGCTAAGAGGGAGGGAATGAGACACATAGATGGACTGTGAGGGAGGGAATGACACACATGGAGGGACTGGGGGGGTTAGGGAATGAGACACATGGAGGGACTGGAGGAGTGAGGGAATGAGAAAAGTCTCTGTTTCTTTTGCTCCTTCCCCAGCCCCTCTGTGTCTCTTTGTGTCAACCCAGACCCTCTAGGTGTCTCTCTTCCAAGCCCCTGTCTGTCTCTTTTGCCCCTTCCACAGCGTCTCTGTGTGTCTCTTTCTATCCATAGCGCCATTTGTGGGTCTCTTCCCCTCCAGCGCCTTGTCTCTTTCTCCCCCAGCCCCTCTATGCCACTTTGTGTGTCCCCAGCACCTTCATGCATCTCATCACCCTACGTGTCTCATTCCCCCCAAGCCTCTCCATGTGTCTAATTCTCCTAGCCTCCCCATGTGCCTCATTTTCTCAGTTCCACATGTGTTTCAATCCTCCAGCCCCCCCCCCCCATGTTTTAATTTCCTCTCCTCCCTCCCCATGTGTCTTACCCTCCAGTGTTAATGTTGGCGGCAAATTTCAATTTAGTTTTAGTCATAGTGAGGGAATGAGACACATGGAGGGACTGGGAGGTGAGGGAATGAGACACAGGGAGGTGCTTGGGGAATGAGGGAATGAGACACATGGAGCGGCTTGGGGGAAAAAAATGAGACACATGGAGGAGCTGCTCCCCTTCTGCCACTGTGTGTAGCATGGCAGCGCTGTCTGACAGGAAGTGCTCACTGAGAGAGGTCGGTCAGGGTGAACAGGTAGACACACATGGAGTGGCTGGGGGGAGAGGGAATGACACACATGGAGGGGCTGTGGGGAATAGGACACATGGGGAGGCTGGGGGGAGAAATTTTTTGCACCAGGATCCAGTGATTTCTAGTTACGCCTCTGGCCAATAAATATGACTACTTTGTTATAATTGTTACTTTCCTCTTGCAGTCCACGGATAAGCCTTGTAATCAGTCAAAAATCCTACATCCTCTCCCCTCTCTTGCTGCTAGAATACAACCATGTCGTTTTGAACCATAATTGTTCACAAGGAACCGAGCGGAAACTTTTGATGGATACATTTGTTTCTCCTCTGTGTGTAGTCTGGATTTAGAATGTAGAGATGCTTTATTTAACATATTTCATTTTGCATTGTTTTGAAATGGAGCACTTAATAAAACCTTTGTATAAAATGGTCAAACAAAATATTGTTTATTCAATACTGTAGGCTTATTAGAAGAAGATCTAATAAATTGTTATATTCCAATCAGTTTACCGTACCATCTTATCAACCTTCTTGATATATATATATATATACTAGTCTACGTATTTGCTTGTTTAGAAAGTAGTTTTGCTGACTCAATGCTGTCTGTCAAAAACAATTGAAATACATTACGGTGATGCGCAAAATGCATTGTGTCAAGAAATATAAGAGAAACACGCATTTTAAAGGATATGTTCACATTCTTTTTTACAGTAAATTTTAAACTATAGTGGCATCTAGTGGATGATTGCTAATGAAACCATATAAATTAATTGCATTAATGTATCATTTATTTTCTTCACATTTCACTAACTTTTTATTTTTGAATAGGCTTTTTCTAATTAGTGAAATATATATTCAGTGAATTTGTGCTTCTGACATGTAGAAGGGTCAACAATGCTGCTTCTTTAAGCAGTTGACGAGCATTACCCCACCGCTCTTATCTTCCTCCAATAACATACCAATCACTGTTTTTCCGTGAATTCCTGCATATATATATGTGAGACATCACGTGTTTGCGTTATTCATGGAAAGATGAAAGGAATTTACCAGTAAGCCAATCAATCTAGAATCCGAATCAAATCTAACAAATGTATGAGTAAACAAATGAAACTAGATTTCTATCTAGCACATATATTAGCATGCCAATAAATCCAACATTCATAGATTGTAAGCTCTTTGAGCAGGATCTTCTTCACCTCTTGTCTCTGTTCTATTTTCTATGTAAATTAACTTGTTGTCAGATGTCCCCTTTTTATAATTGTGAACCACTGAAGAATATGTTGGAATATGCCACAAACACTGATCATCCACAACATTAAAATCACTTGCCTAATATTGTGTAGATTCCCCTTGTGCTGATGCATCGAGGCATGGGCTTCACAAGACCTCTGAACTTGTCCTGTGGTATCTGGCACCAAGACATTAGCAGCAGAGTCCTGCAAGCTGAGAGGTTGGACCTCCATGGATCCGATTTGTTGTTCCAGCTGAAAAGGGCCAATGACAAGCACACCCCATCTCAAAGTGAGCATGTTGGTTCAATGCTCTTCCAGGGCAGACCATGCGCAGAGCTCTGCTGAAGAGCTCTAGCATGAGAAAAAGGCCCTGTATTTATTCTGCACAGCTCAAGCAAATTTAATAACATGCTTGCATTGTGTTTGCTTGAAACCTGTCTCTGGTGTCTCCATTAATGGGATACCAGGAGACAAAAATGCCAGGAAAGAGTAGTGTGCATGTGTTTGGAGCCTGCTTCTGGAATTGCGTGTGTGTAAAGTGAGCTGATTGTGGTGTGGTTTTGTGTTAATAGGTTGGTTTCAGTCATGTTGTGTTTGTGGTGTAATGTAATCTAGGTGCTGTAGAGAGTGTGTGTATAGGGGGCATAGTGTGTATAGGGGATGTAGCGAGTGTGTGCATACGGGCTGTAGTGTAGAGAGTGTGTGTTTAGGGAATGTAGTATGTGTTTGCTTACAAGGAATCTAGTGTGTGCATAGGGAATCCAGAGTGTGTATGTCAGAAATGTAATGTGTATGTAGGTGGTGCAGTGTGTGTGTAGGGGATCTAGTGTTTGTTTGAAGAACTCAGACTGTGTATAGGAGATCTAGTGAGTGTGTGTGTGTAGAGGATTCAGAGTGTATATCGGGATCTAGTGTGGTGTATATGTGTAGATGATCCAAAGTTGGGTAAGGGATCTAGTGTGTGTCTGGAATGTAGTGTGTTTATGGGTGAAATATGTGTGTGATGGGTTCTGTAGTATATAAAGATATATGTTTGGAAGCATTGTGTGTGTGTGAGTGGTGCAGTGTGTTTGGGGTCTGTTGTGTGTATGTGTGAGGTGTGCTGTGTGTGTGTGAAGGGGGTAGTGTGTATGTGTGAGGCCCATGGCCATCGCTGCCCACCAGACATTTGATGGGTGTTCCTGATGGCCAGTCCGGGCCTGGTTCCAGCATTTCCCAAAGATGCTCAATCAAATTGAGATTTGGGAAATTTGGAGGCCAAGGCAATATCTTAAATCTCTTTTGCATGTTCCTCCAACCATTCCTGAACATATTTTGTAGCATGCCATCAGGAAACATCATTGCCATGAAAGGCTGTACAACAACCTCTAAGTAGATGGTACATGGCAAAGTAATATCCAAAGGATTACCAGGACCCAAGGTTTCCCAGCAGAACATTGCCTCTGCTGGTCTGCTTTCTTCCCCCAGTGCATCCTGCTGCCATCTTTTCCCTAGGTAAACGACGCACCCGGCCATTCACCTGATCTAAAATAAAAACGGGATTCATCAGACAGGGCAACCTTCTTCCATTGCTCCATGGTCCAGTTCTGATGATCATCTCCCCATTTAATGTGCTTTCAGTGGTGGACAGGGATCATCATAGGCACTCTGATTGGTCCTCGACTATGCAGCCCCATAGGCAGCAAACTGCGATACACTATGTGTCCTGACACCTTTCTATCATGGCCTTTCTATCATGTGGCCTTTCTATCATGGTTGTCAGCAATTTGAGTGACAGTAGCTCTCTGTGTGATTGAACCAGACGAGCTAGCCTTCGCTCCCCATATTCGTGAGCCTTGGTCCCCTGTGATCCTGATGCGGTTTACTGGTTGTCCTTCCTTGCACCACATTTGGTAGGTACTAACCATTGCATACTGGGAGCACCTCACAAGACAAGGAGATGCTCTGACTGCCAGCATTAGCTGTGGGGGAGTGCTTTTTCAGGCGAACCCCCAAGACCACTATTGGAATGCTCGGTGAGTAGGCTGGCTGGATGGAGGCCAGATTTGTAGGACAGCAAAGCATGTCAGTGGCTGGACTACCAGGGTCACAAAGGTCGCAACTTTTACAGAACTCTAGAGTTCCGCCTGTCATGGGTGCCCATCGGAGATGGAAATTGCAAGCAGGGCAGCAGCTTACTCTACTTAGTTTGCTTGCCTGCTGCTGCCCCTAAGAGTTCAGTGCCAGCTCCACTCCTCAACCAGGTCCTTGGTGGCCCGGTGGTATAACCGACACTCTGCATCCATTCCGGTAGCCCTCTATGATATCCTCTATCTCACGACTCTGGCACTCAGTTAATGAGTCAGAGCAGCCGAGGTGATCCCCTTTTTCTCTTTGAGGGGTAAAGAAAAGAAGAAGTGAGGAGGAGAAGAGTCACCTCAAATAGACTACAAGTGGTATATGAAAAAGACATTAAAGGGCTCTAGAAAATGCGAGTGAGCATTCAGCTAAAGGGATCTAGAATGTGTCATATATTTTTGTTTTTCCATTGACAAATGATGGAAGAGTTATCTTGACATATATACTCCAAACTGTATATCCCTATATTAAGTATACTGCGCCGAGATTCTGTTATTGAATAATTGTGGATTTAATGAGATGCACTTACACAGGAGAATTTTTAATGCCCCTTTTATGTACTTGCTATGATTTGCATCTGAATGGTTGTATATACTTTAAGTATTCATACTCTTTATTCATAGTTTATTAGATTTTATACAAATAGGATATAAAATATATTATTGAATTTAATATGAGGATTTGCAAGCTCACAAAAAAATTGCATTTATGGTGATTGCACTTTACTGAATGTTGATGTGACACATGGCAATTAATTACATGCTAATTGCCCTCTAAAATAATATTTAGGACACTAAACTAAAAATGACACATGATAATATACGGTATCTATTGAAAATGACAAAATTCTGTACAATTTACAATTTATAGGAAATATTTAAATCAAGCGCTCCCCCAATATATTATGTTTTATTTTTTTGTATTTTTTATTTTCATAAGGAGAACATATTTGGCGTCTTGGAGCGGCTGATCTAAAGAATAAATATAACCAAATAAGAAGTTAATTATAATTAGAAGCACTTGATATACATGACTTTTGCTTTGCAGTTTTGAACTAATTATGTCTTTGTTTGCCAAAACTCATCAGAGTCTTTGTAAAACTCTACAGACAATGAATTTGTCAGGTTTCATCTGTGAAGTATTGGCTTAAGTCCAGGCAGAGCTAGTCCAATGGTTGTTGGAGGCTGGGGTGTACTATGACTTTGATAATGCACCCGACCATCTGATATATTCTAGTAAAACTAGATGTACTAGTGCCCACCATTGATATAGGACCATAAGTTGTTTTCCCAGATGGATATGAAATATGATGTAAAAATATAAGGTAAAAGCGCACACAAAATAGTAAGAAGCGTTTACCTTACATATACATGTAATGTTATGACTGGTAACTGATAGCAGATTTTCCTTCTATTTATGCGAAGGTTATACCCGATAACACATGGTACAGTTTACCTATACAGAAATATAAGCACATAACAAAACATAGTGTAACCTGTATATAATAATAAATAATATGGAGATTTTGAGCTAAAACCACTCACAATTTATTGAGCCGATTGAAAGTTGGCTCGGAACTTATACAGCTTTTATGTCTTTTTCACGGACATAGATACTTTTTCTCCTTTCAATGGATTCTCCGATTAATCATTTTCCCGTATAATGGAAGTTTCAAATCAGGAGCCAGGAGTTGGAGATATTTTAAAAATAATTTATTACTTTATAAAAAGCAAAATAAAAGATGCACAACGCGTTTCAGCCATGAGCATATGGTCTTCCTCAGGTGCTGCCATGAAATATGAGATGTTTTTGTGATCATGCACAATACTCTAATTTGAGAATGTTCGAACTTCATTTTCTCCTTGTTGGAATCCCGAACATCTTTCCAAAAAATGTTTACGGGATTGAATGTGGCTGCCTGTATTCCTTATTGATTCCCAATGTGATATAGTAACTTTTTACTACTTCACTCTCCCTAGTGATCCATCTAAGGGTAAATACCTAACGACTGTAATATAAAAATGACTACTTTGTCGTGATTTTTGCTCACATACGGGACTGACTTTTTATTGTAATCGTTGTTTCTCTTGTGCATGGATGTCATTGTTTGTTCTCTTTCTTTTTGTCCCTGTTATGTATCTGTAGATAGCAGAGCAGCAGACTCGGAGGAGAGATTAATGAACAGCCTTCTGAGGAAAGACAGATATAACAAACTTATTCGACCGGCGTATAACAGCTCTCAGCTCGTCTCAATCAAACTCCAGCTGTCTCTGGCTCAACTAATCAGTGTGGTGAGAACAGTCAGAGTCCAAATGATCTTCACACAAAAAATAAAATTCTTCTTCACTTGGAAGGGTCAACATCATACAGTCATTGACAATGAGGCATGTGCCTCATAGAAAGAGACCGAACTCAGTGTCAGTAGGAAAAATACTTGGGTGTGACTAAGTCCTAATTCTTTAAAAGAGTGCTGTCAAACTGGCAGTCCTAGCCGCCCACCATATAATTTTTTACGGTGCCACCCAAGAGACAGTAATCACATATAAGTGTATTTGTATTGGATTTTCGTATTGGATTGGATTAGTGGCAAATCTGTTTCCCCATTGTCTGTCACTGTGTCTTTCCGAGACATACATTTTGTGACCATAATGATGTGAGATCACATCCCTTCTGCTTACGTACTGCCTTCTGTCACCCACAAAATGATAGTTGAAGAAGAAGCAGCAGAGATGCAAAGACATCAAGGTACACTAGACTAGCGTATCCTCACTTATCAATTAATATTATTGAGACACATAGGAAAGTCATGGAGATGTGTCTTCTAAAGCAGTGCTTCTGAATCCTCTCCTCAAGAAATACCTAACAGTCCAGGCTTAGGGATTACCCGGGTGTTTTTAGTTTTTTTTTTTTTTTAAACAACTTAGACACACCTGGGTAATCCATAAAGCCTGGACTGTTAGGTGTGCCTTGACGAGAGGGTTGAGGAGCACTGTTCTAAAGCACAGAGCTCTTTGCTCCATTTTGTAATTTGTGGAGACTTGAAGGTGCAACATTTTGGCCTGAAAGATGTTAAAAACAGGCCTGAAGTCAGTTGATTTCTGTGCTGCGTTAGACTGCCTTGGCTTGTTAAAATTCCATCTATGATGAAGGTAATTTAAATACTGTATGTTAGCCAAAGGAAATGTAGCTTGCACTTAGGGATGTTTACTAGATAATAGGAATGGAACTAGTCCTCAGCTAACCCCCTTCTGAGATGTCAGGAGCAAATCAGTAATGGATATCGCAGCACTTAGAATAGTCACAAATAAAACATAATATAATCATAATTACCATAATATAGTTAAACACAGGGTTGTAGCATGGTTTCTGGATATTTCTCACCATCTGGTCTAGTCTTTGCAATACAATGGGCTTTATTCATTAAACAGTGAGTTGCAGTGAATTAAAGACCAAATTGTAATATTTAGACCAAACCAGCTGATTTGGAAAATGTCTCCAAGTGAGCTATAATGAACGCTTAGCTGTTTTAACCTGAATTTGGCTTCCAATTCACTCTGTTTAGTGAACAAGCCCTTTTTGTTTTTTTTAATAAGGATAAGTAAGCACTAATTCTATCTGAGATTGCACTGGTCAGTGTGCGTTTAGACATTTCTGAGTGCTTCATTATTGATCTATGTTGACATTATATCCATACTGTGTTTGATAACGAGCAGCTTCAATGTCCACAGCCATTCTCTAGTTTATTAAAGGAACACTTAGTATTAGGAACACAAACCTGTCATTCAATTTGTTACCAGACTGTACTAACTAAGCAGAAAAGTCTGATAATCAACCAGCTGTGGCTCTTGCCTTCTCCTAGCAGACACTACCAGACCAAGCTCCCTGAAATCCGACCACCTGGTCCTCTATCTGTGCAGGTTATATGCTTTGATTCAGCCCACCAACTCAGGCTGGTCGTGTAGAATTAGTCTACTAGTTGACTCAAAACTCAGTGGCGGACGGTGAAACCTTTAACTATGTGAAGATTCTACATCATGCATAGTATAAGGGTGCTATTTTAACAGCTGGGGTGCTCAGGGACAAGCTATCTGGGGATAGCTCATATGTGGGGCTTACTAATTTCTAAAAGTATGTTTTGGGGGATATTCTGTTAAAGCACCCTGTTGTCTGGAGGTTGATTAGATTAGCGGTACTCAACCTAGTTATGTCCCCAGACACAGAGGTGCCTTGGTGGGATCCTCATTGCTTTTCTTAATGACTCCAGTTGGGGGCCAAGGGGGGAGGGTGGGTTCTGTGTATAAATGTGTGCACTGTAACCCAATAAAGCATTCCTGTTTTTACCCTTCATCAAGTTTAGACTGATAATTGGGTGGGCTGCTTTATATCACTGAATACGCTGCAAAAAAAAAGAGAGGCTTTGGTGGAGATACTCTGGTTGAGTATTGGAGCTCTGCAACACAATTCATACCCCTTAAAAATCTAAATAAAAATTGATTAAAAAGGTTTTACATATCTTTTCTTTCCCACTGCTTAGATCCATTTCCTGCAGCAGCTAGATCTGCCTCCCGCAGCGTCACGCTGACACTTTTAAAAGTCCAATCCAATGGTCCTTATAGAGCAGCATTGGGAACAAAAGGTCCATGTACCACCACCACTGCATTCCTATTGGAGGTTAGCTGTGGGAACAGAGTTTGACTAAGTTCTCACAACGGAAGTGCCTTTAGTGGTGGTCAGGTAGACAGCCACTAAAGACATATTTAAAGTGAGCCTTTAACCCCTTAAGGACACATGACAGAAATATTCCGTCATGATTCCCTTTTATTCCAGAAGTTGTGTCCTTAAGGGGTTAATTAAATAATAAACTTAATTTAAATGTTCCCATATACATTGAATACATCATATATCACAAAAACATATAGAGATTTACTGGTTATGGTGGTTAATAGAATTTCCTATTTCCATTTAACGTAACCTCTGCCAACATCTGATGTGGAACAATCTCCCTGCATCAAAATAGTACAGAAATCCAAAGACCCTAAAGCAGGAATCTCAAACTCTCCCCCCGTCCCAATCCCCCACCAGATGCTGATGGCTTACATCTTCCAGAATTCTTTAAATGCAGTAGATGGGTAGAGAATTATGGGAAATCTAGTTCAGCAAATTCTAGCAGTGGGAAGCGGAGTTTGAGATGCCTACCCTAAAGAGCTCCTAAGAGACTTAGATGGAACGTTGTTGCATAATTAGTTATTTGGCATTATGTCTGCAGTGTTAATGGAATCACTTTGTGATTTTTCAATTGTTTTAAGTAAACATCAAAATGAACAAACAGGACATGGGTTGGCTTTCAGCTGTTTTGCTTAGAAACACAAATTACATAAAGCTTATTATTGGAGTACCGGCACTTATTGTAATAACAAAATGCGCTTGTAGTTATCTAATATCCTTCAATAACATTTGCACAATATTTTCAGGAATATAAGAAATCTTTATGTTTTAGGATGCAGTGGATATGAACGCTACATAAAAACATGACGTGCTTTTTAATTGAGTTACAAAATCAATTCGATTTAATGTGCATTACTCGTCTTATTGAATTTACTCGTGTGCTCTGCCTTTTCTCCCAGCTAACATGTTGTCATGTAAATCTTATCCAGGCAGATATTTAGGGCACAGATAAAGCTTTGCTGCTGTAACAGTGTACTTAAAGAGACACTATAGTTACCAGAACAACTACAGCTTAATGTAGTTGCTTTGGTGAGTATAATCAGTCCCTACAGGCATTGTCATGTAAACACTTTGCATTACCTCTTAGGGACATCTACAGTGGCCACTCTTCATATGGCCACTGGTGGTGCTTTCTGTGACAGAGCTGCACAGTAGGCAGCACTGCCGTTCACCGTGCTGAAATCTCCTCATAGAGATGCATTGATTCAGTGAATCTCTATGAGTAGGTGCTGATTGGCCAAGCCAGCGTTTGGCCCCGCCCCATCCCGCCTCCTTGCTGAAATTCAAATTTCTGATGATGTCAGCAAGGAGGAGGATCGAAGGTGGGGCCAACGCTGGCAAACCCACACGGTGCTGTTAATAAGGTACGTTTTATTACCTTTTAAGGGGACATGTAACACTGTATGGTCAGGAATACATGTTTGTGTTCCTCACCCTTTAGTGTTCCTTTAAGCCTACAAGGACAAAGGTCTATATTGGACTCAATATACCATATCAGAAATGAAAAATCAACCAATAATAAGCCAGTCTTCTCCAACCATGCATGTACAAAGGACGTAATTGGCTGTATTTTAAAAGAGAACAAGAACAGTATTAGGCAGAGGGGAAAGTGGGTATCAAGACTGATGGGCTAAAATTTAGTTTCTTGCAAAAATGAGCAAGATAAATTTAAGGGACACTATTGTTATCATTTGTCTCATTTAACTCTTCTATGCCAGTATGGAAAAATAATATATTACTGGAAAAAAGTATCCATATTTGTCTTCTACTATTGTCATGCACCATCCTGCCATCCCTCCACTGTGTGAGGATGTCTCCGCTGCACAAAGTGGACTGATAGAAATAGTGACAGCGAGTAGTAGCTGGCCGGTAAAAATAGCAACATGGTTGAAAAGAAGCCGAGAAACTCCTATCATTGTTCTTGTTTTAAGAACTAACTGGATACATTTGAATATTTGGATTAAGAAAGTTAACAAAACGTACAAATACATCTTTTAATACAATTGATTTTTTATTATATTTTTTTTTTATAGAATGAACGGGAGCAAATTATGACAACAAATGTTTGGCTAAATCAGGCAAGTATAATTACTATTACCTGGGAAGCAGTATTTAATGTACAGCATGTTTATATAAAAAAAGGGCATTTATCCCGAAGTGGAGCAAATTCTATTTCTATTCTAATTAGTACTAACAAGAAAGGAATGCATCTTTCATACTCCAAATCTTTGTGTTATTATTTATTATTCAAAATGTGTTTTTTTTTTTTTGCCTTCTTTTTGATCAACATCAACAACAGATGTGAGGAAGGTTGAACTTGATGGATGCAAGTCTCTCTTAAGCCTATGTAGCATAAACGTTCTATTCTTTATGGTATAGTAATATAGTGATATATTTTATTAAACAGTTACTCGAAAGTTTAACGTTAAAAGAGAGATTTAGTATTAAATAATTTTATGATAATTAAAATTAACAGCCTTCCAGCTGAAGTGGTAGAGGTTAACACTGTAAAGGAGTTTAAGCATGCGTGGGATAGGCATAAGGCTATCCTAACTATAAGATAAGGCCAGGGACTAATGAAAGTATTTAGAAAATTGGGCAGACTAGATGGGCCGAGTGGTTCTTATCTGCCGTCACATTCTATGTTTCTATGTTTCTATGATTGTAATTCCAAGATATAAGACTGAGTGACACAAACTTTGTGTTGATAAGGTTTTATGTCTGAGTAACTACAAATCTGTGCATATCTTAGACATATTACCCTAAAACATGGCTATCTCTTGACCCGGGTATTGGTAGATCATCCAATTGTTTGCTCCAGCAAGCTTTTTGACTTTATTCTCTCTGTACCCATATTTCTAAACTGGTTGGTAGGTCTGTGAGATATTTTAAAGGCTATACATGTTAAAACAAGATGACCATTATTTTTTCTCGCTTATAAATTCAGGAGTGGGTAGATTACCGACTCACCTGGAATCCATCGGAATATGACGGAATAAAAAAACTTCGTATCCCATCAAAACAGATCTGGCTACCAGACATCGTCCTATACAATAAGTAAGGCGACCTGTATATATCAAATTGTTTTGATTGTACAAAAAAATATGTACCAAATAATAAAGGCATATAAGAAAACAGTATTGTAAATAAATAACATCTCTCAGTGTGTAACATAAAGTATTTTCCACAATCCTCTCACATATACATTATTCAATATGTGTGTGCATATATTATTATTATTTTAGTTTATTATTTATATAGCGCCATCAAATTCCATAGCGCTGTACAATGGGTAATATATATATATATATATATATATGAGAGGCAGGATGCCTGGTGTTCTGGGAGGGGTTTGTTGCTGACCTATATCTACCCCCTCCTCCCAGCCTCCTCCTGGTGTTCTGTCTGTGTTTTTGGAAACCCACGCACCTCTCCCTTTTTTATATACTCCTTCAATAGGTGGGTCCTCTTTTTCAGGCCCTACTCCATCCGTTGGTTTCGGCACACCTCCACCGACTTGCTACTACTTATATAACTCAATCCTTATTGTATGCCTCGGCCTTCTGGTACTGACCAGAAATATATATATATAAACAAAGAAGGATCCAGGATGCACTCACAGGACATTGGTGAAAAAATATTCTGAGTTATTTAAATAATGTGCATGCAGCCAAAAAAACAACCGACGTTTCAACCCCTGCAGGTTTTTTTCATGGCCTTGAAAAAGACCCGCAGGGGTTGAAACGTCGGTTGTTTTTTTTGGCTGCATGCAAATTATTTAAATAAATCAGAATATTTTTTCACCAAGTCCTGTGAGTGCATCCTGGATCCTTCTTTGTTTATATATTGGACACATCATGGATGGCACCCAGGCAGGTATATTGGAAATTCAGAGAAAGGAGAGTGCCAAGCTTTCTACTTATTATATATATGTTAAATATAAATATATATATATATAGTTAATACATTGCTAAAAACAAATACACACACCAGTCAAGTCATAAGACTTGCTTTTCCCACAAAAATCTTGCTTTAACAGTCCTCTCACTACTGCATGGGATTCTGGGTAGGTGTATATAAATGAGCTCAACAAAAAGCACACTTTTTCCCCCACCACAACTCTTTTGGTATATATTATGTTTCTCCTTCAGCTATGGAGACTAAGACTGGAAGTCAAGATAAAGGTAACATAAAGAATTAGTAAGCTGGACCAGCTTCACAGAGGTGGGTGCAGACACCTCTGAATTCCGCCTTTTGGTCTCTGAAGTCGAAGGTGCAGCCTGCACTGAGGACAGCGCAGAGCCATGCAGGGAGATCTGGGGAGGGTGGGAGGGAAAGTCAGCAGAGCCAAAGCTATAATTGTAGCACCGACTCTTTTGTCTGGACAGCCATTGCAGGTGAAATAGGTGTGTAAAAAATGAATTAATTTGCAATGGTTAAAATTGTGTATGCATGATTTCAAGACATTGCTACATACCCTGGCAATCGTGTATAGACAATTGGCAGCATGAAGGGGCTATGGAAGATAGAGGAGAATAACAGCTAATGAGCTGCAGAAGGCATACTTTGAGTTATTTTATGAAGAAGGCTGGGAGTAGTAAGAAAATGAAAAGACATAATAATCGAATAAAGCTACGAAAAAAAACTTTTTTTCATATAGAATGTGCATCTCCACTTTGGGAAATACTATAAAAGCATATTGTCCTCATAACTTCAGTTTGATGTGAAATTTAGGAATGCCCTTCACAAAATATTGTATCACTTGTATTTTTCTTCTAGTGCTGATGGTACATATGAGGTCTCATTGTTCACCAATGCAATTGTACAGAACAATGGAAGCATTGCTTGGCTACCTCCTGCTATCTACAAGAGCGCTTGCAAGATAGAGGTAAAACATTTTCCTTTCGACCAACAGAACTGCACTTTGAAGTTTCGCTCCTGGACATACGATTACACAGAAATTGATCTTGTGCTTAGTACAGCCTATGCAAGCATGGATGACTTTACACCAAGTGGAGAATGGGACATCATAGAGCTTCCAGGAAGAAGAACAACCAACGCAGTAGATCTCACATATGTTGATGTAACATATGATTTTATTATTAAGAGGAAACCTCTTTTCTATACCATCAATTTGATTATTCCTTGTATCCTTATTACCTCCTTGGCTATATTAGTATTCTACCTTCCATCAGACTGTGGTCAGAAAATGACCTTATGTATTTCGGTGCTTCTTGCACTGACTGTGTTCTTGCTTCTTATTTCTAAAATTGTTCCACCAACTTCTTTAGATGTTCCTCTCATCGGGAAATACCTAATGTTCACTATGGTGTTGGTAACATTTTCCATTGTCACAAGCGTCTGTGTCCTTAATGTCCACCACAGATCTCCTAGCACACACACAATGCCAACATGGGTCAAAAACTGTTTTCTAGAGAGACTTCCAGTGTTCCTCTTCATGAAAAGGCCAGCGCAAGCCTCACCAAACCAAAAACTCCACAGGAGAAATGCTCAACATGAATCGATCAGAAACTCAAACTGTTTTGTAAATGCATCAACTGCAAGAACATATGACAGAAGCGACCAGGCAGAGAATCTCAGAAACCAAGAATTCCGATGTAGAACCTCCAGGAAGCTTTCTCCCGAAGTCCAAGAAGCCATGGAAGGTGTAACCTTCATAGCAGATCACATGAAAACTGAGGATGAAGACCAAAGTGTAAGACTTTATCACTTATAAATAGCAGTTTATTAATATTGTCACATGAGAATATTACATATTTTTTATTTTCTTATTTTAACTGTTCCACTGTTCTTTTTAATGACTATCTTTACAATGTTCACTTGTCACTGGATGCATCTATTTACATTGGTAATTATGATATCTTTCAAATTATATAATATTGTGAAGTTCTTATTCTGGGATTGGCACATATTACTATCCCTAAGTAAAATATAGATATGAATAATGCTTTTCACAGGGATTCCCTAGTACATGTACCTATTTTAAAAGAAAAGACCCTTTCTTTCTTGCCATTTGTGGGACCCGCACTGCTTTCATACACATTATCTCAACTTCTAAGTTACCAAAAGATCTTTGTTTTTAAGGACATCCATTAATTAGATGACCGAATTCTGCTTTAATCTTCTAAACATTTTATATATATTTAGCATTAGCCAAATTCCTGTATATATAAGATAAAACATTTAGAAAATGTAAATGTTCCCACTATTTCTGCCTAATTTAAAAGCTGTATAGTGCAATTAATTATTTCAATTTCTAATGCGTTCCCTTGATTTTTCTCCACTCTAATCTGCCTCCACTCTCTGAGCTCTTTGCTCACTCTCCTCTTAATACCTTCTTGATCCACCATTTTAATCTGTCATCCCATAGCTTAAAGGACCACTATAGTGCCAGGAAAACATACTCATTTTCCTGGCACTATAGTGTCCTGAGGGTGCCCCCACCCTCAGGGTCCCCCTCCCACCTGGCTCTGGAAGGGGGAAAGGGGTAAAAACGTACCTTTTTCCAGCGCTGGGCGGGGAGCTCTCCTCCTCCGATCCTCCTCTTCTCCTCCCATGCGGCTAAATGCGCACGCGCGGCAAGAGCTGCGCGCGCATTCAGCCGGTCACATAGGAAAGCATTATCAATGCTTTCCTTTGGATGCTTGCGTGCTCTCACTGTTATTTTTACAGTGAGAAGCACGCAAGCGCCTCTAGCGGCTGTCAATGAGACAGCCGCTAGAGGAATTGGGGGAAGGCTTAACCCATTCATAAACATAGCAGTTTCTCTGAAACTGCTATGTTTATAAAAGAATGGGTTAAGCTTAGCTGGACCTGGCACCCAGACCAGTTTCTTTAAGCTGAAGTGGTCTGGGTGCCTAGAGTGGTCCTTTAAGTAGATCTCTGCTCACCATGATGCACATTAACCCACTCATCCATCCTGTGCCCCATACACTTTGTGTTCTACTTCAAACTTTGCCTCTGGCTCAATCATACATACGAGACCTTCCAGTGGTGTCCTCACAGTCACATTTTTCTCAGTCTTTCTCAGATGTTCCTAATTTCAGCCATACCTCTTTGTCCATGTTTCCATCTATGGACTTCCCAGACTTCCTGCCCTTCTCCAACTTCTCATACCATCCTCGGGGATCTACTACCTTTTTTTGCATTATGCAACTTCCCTGCTTCATATGTTTCCCTGGTGTTTATATTGTCCTGAGGTTCTCTAGTGAACAAGATAAGGTGTTTATCATTCACTCATTTACCCCAATATTTGTATAAATATTCACTTCCGATCAGTTCTAACACCCGGGTTTTATTTTTCAGATAATTGAAGATTGGAAATATGTTGCCATGGTCGTGGACAGACTGTTTCTTTGGATATTCATCATTGTTTGTGTTGTTGGAACTGTCGGACTTTTCATTCAACCCATACTACAAATGCACATTCCACCTGATAATCACTGATATGCATAAAGCTATGCCAATCAACATGACATCTCCAGGTTTATAGTTATTTATTGCGCTGGAGCCAAAAGGATCATAGACAAGGATATCGGTTTCTCACAGTCAATGTACAGGTTTTAATAAAGTTCTTTTTTTTCTTCTTATATTTTAACCTGGATTGTTTGACTTGCATTGCTTTTTTATTATCAGAAACCGATTTTTTAATAAAAAAAATAAAATGTATCATGTATAAAATAAAAGTGTATCTTAACTTTTTTAGATACCAAAATGTGCTATTAATGTTAGAGGCTTAAAGGAACGGTTAAAGGATCTTAACATGTATAGCGTGGAGGAAAGACGAGACGGGGGGATATGATAGAAACATTTAAATACATAAAGGGAATCAACACAGTAAAGGAGGAGACTATATTTAAAAGAAGAAAAACTATCACAACAAGAGGACATAGTCTTAAATTAGAGGGGCAAAGGTTTAAAAATAATATCAGGAAGTATTACTTTACTGAGAGGGTAGTGGACACATGGAATAGCCTTGCAGCTGAAGCGGTACAGATTAACACAGTAAAGGAGTTTAAGCATGCGTGGGATAGGCATAAGGCTATCCTAACTATAAGATAAGACCAGGGACTAATTAAAGTATTTAGAAAATTGGGCAGACTAGATGGGCCGGATGGTTATTATCTGTCGTCACATTCTATGTTACTATGTTACTTTAATTTCTTTAATTATCTATATTGATACTTTTTAATTATTAATCCACCTATCCCGTTACTTCCCTGATTTTCCCTGCTTGTGTTGCCATTAGAAGTGATCTTGGGCTGGAATCCACTGTTTTCCGACCCAAGATAACACTTACCTGGCCATGCACTCACAGACCAGTGTACATCTGAACAGCTTTCACAGTGGCCTTCACATCTCCTGAGTTAATCAGAATTGTCACAAGTAAAGAGAAAATAGCACTGAGGATAAATGCTGTGAAAGCTATCAAACGGGCAGCAGAATGCCTCCCGGCCATCCCCAACCAGGGCCATCACACAGATATGTACCTGACATAGCACACACTCAAGGTTCATCATTGTCAGGATCGTGACAGGGATCCAACACGCAGAATACAAACAGGAGATAGGTACGTATACCGGACCTTAGAATGGCCGGACTAACGTAAGGAGGAAGCAAAAGAATGGTCAGAGACAAGCCGAGGTCGAGGGAACGAGAGATCAGGTAAGCGAGAGACAAGCCGAGTCAAAAGGACAAGAGAGGAAAGCAGGGTCAAAATACAAGCCGAGTCAGGAACCAAAAGACAATAGAGGTAAGTGCACTGAGTGACCAGACTAGCTAGAACCACGACAGGGCAATGAATCATTCCACAGAACCCTTTTTTATACCTTGGCTCTTTAACTGTTGGCTCCGCCCCCAACGAGTCCTGATTCGTTGTTCGGCACTTGGTTGCCGTGATTGACGGGTCGGAACGTGATTGCCGTCATGACGTCGGCTACTGAGCGCCGCGTCATAAAAGGAGGCGGAGCTATCGCGGCCGGCGTGTAAACGACCGGGAGGAGTGCAAGGATCGGGTGAGTCAGCCCCCCTGGGAGGATGGACGTCTAGGTGTCTAACCTCCTCCGAGGTAGACACCAAAGGTAACCTGACAGTACCCCCCCTCTCAGAAACGCCCACCGGGCGGAAGGAACCGGGGCGGGACGGAAAACGAGCATGAAATGCCCGGAGGAGACGAGGGGCATGCACATTTTCATGGACCACCCAAGACCTTTCTTCAGGCCCATACCCCTTCCAGTCAACAAGATATTGCAACTTCCCCCGAGAAATACGAGAATCGAGAATGGATTTGATTTCATATTCCTCCTGACCCTCAACCTGGACAGAGAGAGGGGAGGACTCAGCGGAGGAAAATCTGTTGCAAACCAAAGGCTTCAACAAAGAAACATGAAAAGAGTTAGGGATGTGCAGGGCAGGCGGAAGGGCAAGACGATACGCAACCGGGTTAATCCGACACAGAACCTTGTAAGGGCCTATGTAACGAGGGGCAAATTTCATGGAAGGAACCTTCAAGCGGATGTTTCTGGTACTCAACCACACCCTATCACCCGGGGCAAAAACCGGAGCCACCCGTCTCCGTTTGTCAGCGTGTCGTTTGAACACCATGGAATTCTGAAGAAGAATTCGTCGAGTCTGATCCCACAACTTTCTCAGATTGGCGACATGAACATCAACCGACGGAACCCCTTGGGAAGGGGAAACCGACGGAAGAATGGAAGGATGAAAGCCATAATTCAAGAAAAAGGGGCTAGAACGAGTAGAATCACAAACGAGATTGTTGTGTGCAAACTCTGCCCAAGGAATCAGACCAACCCAATCGTCCTGGTGTTCAGAAACAAAACAACGCAAATATTGTTCAATCTTTTGGTTGGTGCGTTCGGCAGCTCCGTTGGACTGGGGATGATAGGCAGATGAGAAATTCAACTTGATGCCTAAGTGAGAACAGAAAGACTTCCAAAAGCGGGAAACAAATTGGGAACCTCTATCAGAAACAATTTCAGAGGGAATACCATGTAAACGAAAAATCTCCCTCGCGAATATCTCAGCTAATTCGGGAGACGAGGGCAGTTTAGGCAAGGGCACGAAATGAGCCATTTTAGTAAACCTGTCAATCACCGTGAGAATAACAGTATGTTTTTTAGAAACAGGCAAATCGACAATGAAGTCCATAGCCAAACACGACCATGGTCTCTCGGGAATTTCTAAGGGGTGCAAAAGTCCACAAGGGAGCGCGTGAGGTTGTTTAGTCTTCATACAGACAGCACATGCCCTGACGAAATCCCTTATATCCTTACGAAGGGAAGGCCACCAGAAATCTTTAGAAATCAGGGAACACGTTTTGCGTATGCCGGGGTGCCCAGCAATTTTACTGTCATGAAAGCAATGTAGCAGTTCCACTTGGAGCTCAGGAGGAACGAAGTATCGATCCCCAGGAACAGGTTTGGGAGCTAGATGTTGTACTTTCTTGATCTCAGCAAGCAACGGCGAGTGTATCCTGACACATGTGTTGGCAATAATATTACACTTGGGAACGATAGAAGACAAAGCTACTTCAGACACCGTAGAAGGTTCATGTTGACGGGACAATGCATCTGCCTTAGAGTTCTTAGAACCAGGTCTATAAGTGAGCACGTAATTGAAATGTGTCAGAAACAAGGACCAACGAGCTTGCCTGGCGGACAAGCGCTTGGCCTCCCCTATATAGGACAAATTCTTGTGATCCGTCAAAATAGTAACCGGTTATAATGTCCCCTCCAACAAATGTCTCCATTCCTTTAAAGCCATAATGACCGCTAACAGTTCCCTATCACCAATGTCATATCTACTTTCAGGCCCAGATAATTTCTTGGAAAAAAACCCACATGGATGTAACGGTTTATCCAAACCTAGCCTTTGGGACAAGATAGCGCCTATACCTGTCTCCAAGGCGTCAACCTCGAGTAGAAAAGGCAAAGATGTGTCAGGATGAACTAATATCGGTGCTGAGGCAAAATGTTCTTTGAGTGTTTTGAAAGCAGAGAGAGCCTCTGTAGACCAAGTCTTGGTATCAGCACCCTGTCTAGTCATATTGGTAATAGGAGCAATAATAGAAGAGTAACCTTTAATGAAGCGCCTATAATAATTGGAAAATCCGATAAATCTCTGAATGGCCTTGAGTCCCCTGGGCACTGGCCAATCTAAAATCGATTGGAGTTTAATGGGGTCCATCCTAAATCCGTCTCCAGAAATAACGTAGCCAAGAAAGTTTATCTGAGATTGGTCGAAGCTACACTTCTCCAATTTGCAGTACAATCCATGTTGTAACAGTTTGCGCAGTACCCTTCTGACTTGTCTGTGGTGAGTCTCAATCTCTCTAGAGTGTATTAGTATATCATCCAAATATACTATAACGCATTCATGCTGAAATTCCCTAAGAACCTCATTAATAAGGTCCTGGAATACTGCAGGTGCATTGCAAAGCCCGAAGGGCATTACCGTGTATTCATAGTGGCCATAACGGGTATTGAAAGCTGTTTTCCATTCGTCTCCCTGCTGAATTCTCACCAAGTTATAAGCTCCCCTCAAATCTAACTTGGTAAAAATCTTGGAGCCTTTCAGTCGATCAAAGAGCTCAGTAATCAAAGGAATAGGATAAGCATTTCTAACAGTTATCTTATTCAAGCCTCGATAATCAATGCAAGGCCGTAGAGTGCCGTCTTTTTTATCTACAAAAAAGAAACCGGCCCCGGCCGGAGAAGATGATCTCCTAATAAATCCTTTGTCTAGGTTTTCACGTATGTACTCCTCTAGGACTAAGTTTTCCTTAGTGGATAAAGGATATACCGTACCCCTCGGAGGCATAGTACCAGGTAGGAGTCTAATTTTACAGTCGAAAGACCTATGTGGAGGTAAAGTATCAGCCCTCTTTTTGTCAAAGACTGCCTTTAAATCCAGGTACTGCGACGGTATCTGTAAATCTGTAGATTGGGAAGAGTTAACCGGGGCGTCAACCCTGCAAATCGGTGAGACTTTCTGCAAACATCCTCTCTGGCAACCCTGACCCCAGGAGACTATCTCACCCAGTTCCCAGTCAATGATAGGGTTATGCTTCTTAAGCCAGGGGTACCCCAAGACTATAGGAACTGAAGGAGATGAGATCAGCATGAGGGATATTCTTTCCTCGTGATGGTTAACTTAATTGGTATGGTTTCACGAAAAATAACAGGTTCAGATAATGGTCTACCATCTATGGCCTACCATCAACGGCCAAGGGTGTATCCCTTAGCTGAGATGGGATAGAATGGTTAGTGACAAAGGCTTGGTCAATAAAGCTTTCAGCTGCTCCGGAATCTATCAAAGCCATAGCATTAAGTACTCCCTTTTCCCAAGCTAAAGAAACAGGTATCAGAAGCCTATGATCTTTATAATCATATATAGAGGACAAGATAGAAACACCCAAGGCCTGTCCTCTTGAGAAACTTAGGTGCGAGCGTTTCCCGGCCGGTTAGGACAATTTAGGCGTAGGTGACCTCTAATTCCGCAATACATACAAAGACCCTCCCTTCTCCTGTACTGTCTTTCCTCTTCTGAGAGTCGAGTATTACCTATTTGCATAGGTTCTGGGAGAGCTAAAGTAGTAGAATCAGAAGTCTGAAATGAGGCAGCTAGTCTTATGGAGGATCTGCGGGTTCTATCCCGAATATTCTGCCTCTGTCTCATACGTTCATCTATTCGGGAAATAAATGAAATCAGATCCTCCAAATTTTCAGGAAGATCTCTTGTGGCCACCTCATCTAAAATCTCATCAGATAACCCGTTCATAGATACGTCCATATAAGCCTGTTCATTCCACTTGACTTCTGCCGCCAAGGATCTGAACTCTAAAGCATAATCCACGAGGGTTCGGTTATACTGTCTAAGACGTAACAGTAGTCTAGCTGCATTGGCCTTTCTTCCTGGGGGGTCAAAAGCTCTCCTAAATGCAGCGACAAAAGCATTATAATTATAAACTAACGGGTTATCATTTTCCCACAGGGGGTTAGCCCATCTAAGTGCCTTGTCAATGAGCAAGGTAATTATAAATCCAACCTTCGCCCTGTCAGTAGGGTAGGCGTGGGGTTGTAACTCAAAATGAATACCTATCTGGTTTAAAAAACCTCGACAAGTGTCAGGAGCGCCGCCATAGCGTGACGGGAACGTAACACGGGAAGAAGTAGCCACTGTGGCTACCTCTAGGCCTGTACTTATAGGAGAGATAGATGGGGTACGCATCTCCTCTGAGTGACTACTAGGACGAGATAGCAATGCTTGCAGAGCTAGAGCCATCTGGTCCATTCTATGATCCATGGCCTCAAATCTAGAGTCAGGAGAACCGACCTGAGAGTTTGTACCTGCAGGATCCATTGGCCCTGTCGTAATGTCAGGATCGTGACAGGGATCCAACACGCAGAATACAAACAGGAGATAGGTACGTATACCGGACCTTAGAATGGCCGGACTAACGTAAGGAGAAAGCAAAAGAATGGTCAGAGACAAGCCGAGGTCGAGGGAACGAGAGATCAGGTAAGCGAGAGACAAGCCGAGTCAAAAGGACAAGAGAGGAAAGCAGGGTCAAAATACAAGCCGAGTCAGAACCAAAAGACAATAGAGGTAAGTGCACTGAGTGACCAGACTAGCTAGAACCACGACAGGGCAATGAATCATTCCACAGAACCCTTTTTTATACCTTGGCTCTTTAACTGTTGGCTCCGCCCCCAACGAGTCCTGATTCGTTGTTCGGCACTTGGTTGCCGTGATTGACGGGTCGGAACGTGATTGCCGTCATGACGTCGGCTACTGAGCGCCGCGTCATAAAAGGAGGCGGAGCTATCGCGGCCGGCGTGTAAACGACCGGGAGGAGTGCAAGGATCGGGTGAGTCAGCCCCCCTGGGAGGATGGACGTCTAGGTGTCTAACCTCCTCCGAGGTAGACACCAAAGGTAACCTGACAATCATACATTGAACATAATACATTAAGAAAGTGAGTTTTTCAATGGAGAAATGTGTGCTATTACACTGTAGAATGGTTTAACAAAAAACATAAGTAGACAAGAATACATGTCTAAGTGCAATACATCAGGATAATACATACCATGGTCTGCTTGTACTTAGACAGTAACTCTCTGTATAAGCAAATATATTAAATCATGAATTACATGAAGTGATAGTAATCTATGTCAACCTTTACCATTCACAATAACAACTCATTTAAAGCTTTCAAAAAATACAATGTGACTTTAGTGAAAAGTGCCCATTGTGAATGTTGTTTAAATTGTTCCATCATTTAGTATTCATAATGGTGCATATGTCTAAAAATAGTTTTAATGCAGAAGATGTTAATGTGTTAGAGTTAAAACACTGACCTGTACAAATATAACCTTTCTATAAACATGATGTCATTATAAAGAACATAATTTGTTTTTAATAATAAAAAAAACTAAATTTCTTCAATTGGATTAGGATTGGACGAACATGTGCATGGAGTGTGTGATCTGCTGACAGAAAAATCCTAACATTCAGATGTTCTTGATATTGAGTTGTTTAGGAGGTCATGTTCTTCTAGTTGCCTCCTGGCTGCCCACATATGGTTCTGGCGCTGCTCTGGCAACACCCGCTTGTTCATCCTGTAGGCCTCTTACCTGTGGGCATCATCATGTGACCAGCATCATTTTGAAACCAAATACTGGTGGTTGCGGTAATTTTTGGCACTGCTAAGGGAGGGAGGATAAAATGCATGTGCATACATGAAAGGCTATTGCTGTGGAATGTGTTATAGTAGCAGATCTTCGAGGGCAGGTGGCCATACATGGTGACACTGGTGGCAACACAAGTGGAGGCAATGGTGGTGGCATTACAGGTTACTGATATTGTGCCATGTGCTGATGACCACAACATGGTGGTCCCTGGTGGAAGGTCATGGCACAACAATTTCAGTAACTCACTGTGTCCTATTTGAGACTCTTCTACCCAGCAGAGCAAGGGAGGAATAAATTATCTTGCTTCTCCTGGGCTACTTAACCTGCTGAAATATTTCATATTCCTTCATTTCTTCTTCTTCATCCTTCTCCTCTTTGGTAGTTCCTTTAAGACAACAATTCATTAGAAGATCATTCTACCATTTGATGTTTCACATTTTCAAAAACAATTTTAGATAATTTTTTGCATGTTATATACTTTCCTCAGCAGCCTATTCTACATAACTCTCCTCTTAGTAAATCTTCGCAGTGATAATATTGCACAAAATTAATTAACCTAGTTTCGGTTCCTTTTGCATAGTCACTGTGATGAAGTGCCCTTCGCCACTTGTGCCTGGAGGGGACTACTGGCCAGCCTCCTTCCTTCCCACTATGGCCCCTTTGCTGATAGCTGTATTTTACCCTGCAGAAAGGTTTATTTGTGTATTCCTGCTGGGGCGTTCGGGACTTTCAGTATGTGAGTAGTGCCAGATAGCTATGCCATGGAGCCTATTCGTGTAAGGAAAGACTATGGAAAAGACTTTGGCTCCATGGCGATTGAACTGCATGTATGTGATCTGAGTGCCATTCGGTAATAATGTGCGCTCAGATCTAAGCTATCTGGGGATATGTTGCATGTATATGTTTTATGTAGTAATTGTAACATTGTGTAATTTTATGTCTTTTTGTAACCATGTGGTTAATGGAGTCTTGCCTCTGTCCTGGGATTGTGATATCACTGTGGGAGTGTTTTGTTTGTATTGTCTGTGATTGGCTATTATCCAATATGTGTCCCATTGTTCCATTAGGTCCCCTAGGGGAGTGTCCACCTGGTGGACACTTGCATAAATACCGGGCAGGTATCCCTCAATAAACCAGACCTACTTGCACCTTTCATGAAGACTTGGCTCATGCTTGGGGGAAGGGGTACCTAAACTCTGGGGATTGCTATAATCACTTACTCCCCAGAGTAAGCTCTTGTAAGAGCTTGATTTGTTCCTGCTACACTCTCTGGATTTAGGAGAGGTTCACCCACTGGGAGCTGGATCCTGGTCGTGAATCCAGGGTGGGTGAGAGACCGCGAGACCCCGGCACAGCTGCATTTCTGGAAGTGGGGTCCGCAGTGCTGATGGTGTTGGTTGGAGTGCTCGGAGTCCTCGGCAAGCGCTAGGAGCATCGATTGACGGAGGTACTCGGTTGGAGTGCCCGAGGTCCGTCACAGTGACCCTCTTATTTCCCTTCCTTTCTGCAGTCATTAAAGTGATACTTTATGCTCGGGATTGCGCAGAACCTACCAAGAGCAATGACTGCACAGTGTATCTCCAACCATGGTAGGATACAAAGAGGTTAGGGAGATGTGGGGAGAGCCTCACATGGGGGTCAGGAGAGACTGTGGATAAAGAAACACAAAGTTTGTACATTCAGACAAACCAACAATATGGAGCTCCAAGAAAAAAAGAGACATTAGAATACAAAAGAGGGTTAGAGGGATTTGGGCCCCAAGTAGGAACTGCCCTACTTTTTGAAATTTGAAATAGGCACACTTGGGAGGTATGTAATCCTGTTTATATATGCCTCAGCAAGGATCTCTTTCTTTTCAACAGTGTACCTATCCTCTCTCTCCCTTGCCCTCACACCACAAAGCCCAGAAACCTCTTGCTCTCCCCCCTTTTGAACCTGGACCAGGCCTCCCTCCCTGAACCAATCCTGCAGCATGTGTCTAACCTCTTATGCACCCACCCTGACTATTAGCATACATTGCTCCCCTCTAGCCTTGGTCTTTTGAGATATAACTTGGTTGGGTAACAATTTTGTCTACAATACATAGCAAGACAGTCCCTTCCTCTGACCATCATATCACCACAATACAGACTTCTCCTGCTCAAGAAGATCATAAACATAACAGGTGCACAGTAGAATGGAGATAAGTATCTGTTAAGACACCCCTGGTACCAAGGAGTGAAATCGCTGTTTAGTAAAGATTCCCCTTTCGCAATAATGCAAACTCCATTCGTATAGACTCCAAACGTACGAACTGCAATCAGGGGAATGTGCCAATCTCCCGAACGGGACCCGTACGGGTGCTCTAACTCTCGAACAGTAAATCCAAGAATCGCTGCTAACAGCCGAATAAATATATCCTCCAAGCGGCTTACACTTTCATCAATCAGTCGCTATCCGTGTATAGTAAATCCCCCCAATAACGAAACCAAGCTCCGCATTGAGGGTAAAAGAACTGGGTTTACTGTGGGCCACCCGCCCGTATTTATGCAGGTCTCCCACTTGGTGGACACTCCCCTAGGGGACCAAATGATAGACTGTAATGGCAGACAGACATGTATCACTTTAGGACATACAGGCACATTTTATTCCCACAATGCATCCTGGTTACCTCCCCTCTGCCCTGGAGATAATTGAGAAGTAATTCAATTATCTCCAGGACAGAGGCAAATCGCCATTTTAAATAATACCGGCAAAACACATAAAAATTTATAATCACACAACTACCGAACATATTATATTAGCGAATAGTGCTCAGATCCCATACGCTCAGTTCAATCACCATGGAGTCAAAGTCTTTACAGTCTTTCGGTATGCGATCGACTCCATGGGAAGGCTATCTGGGTTCAGTTCATTCGTATAATCCAAAATCCCGAACGGCTGGTGTTCGCATGCCTTATCAACTGAGAAGGGCGGTCTGTGGTTTCAGCGGTGTTCGGCAGAAAAAGTGTCAGTTTTTAGTTCCATAGAATCTGTGCTGAACACCGCTGGTCTTTCGCATGGTTTAAAATGGCCGCCGCCTCGTGGTCGACATACGAATGACGACCACCCGACATTCGGTTGTAATTAAGAGGTGTCTGCGGTTAACCACAACGTTCTAATTGGGATCAAGAGGTTACCCAGCGGCACACTTCTGTTCTGGGTGGCCGTCCGTTCGGTAAGTTCATTTGGTAGATAGTCAAACAGACGAATAGGGATACGGACAGGCAATTCCACGAAAGGGAGGCAAACCAGACAAACCAGCAATATTAGTCTTACAGATGAATCTGTCACTGTATCAAACCATGTTGTACTTTACGAAATATATTTTCTCTGTTTTTTTCTAATTTTACAAAAGCAGATGCTTCTTTACTCATGAGAAAAAAAAAATTCAAATAACAACTGAGATTAAGGAGAGATCTTGGGAGCCATAAATTATAGACAATTGTATAGTATGGAAAATAAGACTTTAATTCCCTTTATATCCAGCAGCCATTTGAATCGCTTTACAATTTCATGATATTGCCTGAATTAACAGACCTGATAATTGGCAAGTTCTTTTTAGTAAAGCATGAAGCCTTATTTTATATAGTCCTATTTTTTAAAAATCATATTTCCTATATTGCTTGATTCAGGTTACAGTGAAAAGCATGCAAAATATGATAAAGAGGAAAATATCTGATCAACTATCTGGAAATGGTGAGAGAGAAGGTCCACGGAGACTATAACTCACTATGTCTCTGCAGATTAAAGGGCAAGTTCATCTGTAGAAAATGTATTAAATGTTCTTCAATTTTTATAAGCTACCACCAGCAATGTATACTGGGGTGCTGGTTTGAATCGTAAGTGGAATAAATAAAATCCAAAGATCTAATGGTGCTTTTTAATTTACATACAAGCTTGGCAAAATTAAATCAAGTTCAGCTTAACTGTTTATCATGTTGAGCTTTATAAAATTACCATCATTACGCTTGATAATACTAACATCTAGACCGCAGGAAGTACTTGAACACTGGAAGGAAGATAAATGCTATATAAAGTAATGTGATATTTATGACGATAGTCACCATCACTGGGAGGTTATTCTTATGTCTTAGTCACCACGTGCTCATTATATGTACAGGGTGAATAAAATGTAGCCCCATGTAGCCAAAGCGCAGCTAAGCGAAAAAAGGCCTTGACAGGGGTTAGGAGGCGGGCATAGGAGGAGGGAAGGAAGTATGGAGTTATGGGTAAGTAGGCTTGGCTATTTAAATAGGCAGCCATTTTAAATCCTTCACTTTTAATTACTACCTTGCCGAGTTTATGTGCACTCCTGTGTCCACGGATTTGGCTTGGTGGGTCTTTGTTTTTTCTCTCCTTCTGCAGGGTCGATGGATGACATGGAGGAGCTGTTGGAGCGGATCCGGTCGGCAGCTCGAGGACGTGGCGTGGACTGGCTGCGGGCGCAACTTGGACCGGCCCTGGCGGGTGCTGCGGATCCTGAGGGCAGCGGAGGTCGGCCTGTGCGGGCCTTGAGGCCGCCGAGACGGCTGAGACCAGGCACGGAGTCCGGTGGGGACGGTTCCAGTGGCCGGGCGGCGGCGGGACCAAGCCGCAAAGGACCCGGTAGCCGCATGGTTGAGGCTCCGCCTCCCGGCGTGTTACCGGGACGTCAGAGAAACAGTAGCCGGCAGGCGGCTACCCGGGAGACGGACGGCACGGCTCCCAGTTCGGGGAGGGCTGCGCCTGGAGCGGGGGCCGCGGAAGACATCGGGCGGCCCCCTGGAACCGGAGGTGATGCGGGATTGCGGCCCGGGATGGCGTCCCCTACACCCATGATGGGGACTGGCGGGGCCGGTGCGGGAGGAGCTCGTGGACCGCCCCTGGAGCAGGCAAGTGCAGGGGGTTCCGGCCGGGGCCCCCTTGGCGCGGATCAGCGCAGGAGGACTGGGCACGGGGTTCAGAGACCTGGGGGGGGATGGAGAGGGGTCAGGTTCCTCCTGGATCGGGGGCAGAGAGGCCTAGGGGGGAGGGTGCGCTGGGTAGTTCCAGGATAGTGAGCGTGGAGCAAGGGCCTGTAGCCGGGAGGGTGGATGGGCCAGGGGGTACGGCGGGGGGAGGTTTGCCATCGGGTGGGGGCAGGAGGTCTAGGTGCGCAGGGCGTTCAGGGCAGGTTAGGGGTGCGGGGTCTGGGGACGGTCTAGAGGTACCGAGGGGAGGGGGTTCTTCTAGCCGGGGGGCCCGCCGGGGTGGGGGGTGGGGATTCCCCCGCGCTGGTGAGCAGCTAGGTGGGCGTAGTACTGGGGGGGCACAGGGTCGGGGTCTGGTGATAGCAGCCCGTCACCGGTTAGGGCCCGGGGGTTCGGGGGGGTTAAGGGAAGGGCTCGGCGCGCTAGGTCCTCATCTAGTAGTTCAGGGTGGGTGAGTGTCATGGAGACGTAAAACTGTGGTCATTGGTGGTTGGTAGGTTCCGAGTCCTGTCGGTGGCTCAGAATCTGGTGGGGCAGGGGTATCCGGGTATACCCCTGCCATGGTTAATTTATGTTTGGCACTTTAAGTTGGTATGTTGGAATATGTTGATATGTATGTTATATATATATATATATGTATATGTGTTATTTATATGGGGGTCATTGCCTGTTATATTAACAGAAGGATTCGGATGCGAGGGCGGAGTATGGGGGCAATGACCCATGTTTATTGTTAAATTATTATTGCTATGGTTATTAATATGGAAATTAATAAATTGTTATTATTCAAGATTGTTTAAATAAAGCTGTGGACAAATTTTCCCATATACCTTTGTGTCAGTGAGTTATTGGGTTAGGTATGTGGGAGGGTTGTCCTGGAGTCCGACTGCCCATATGGCGACTATACACCAGTCATGTAGCCCCATGTAGCCAAAGCGCAGCTAAGCGAAAAAAGGCCTTGACAGGGGTTAGGAGGCGGGCATAGGAGGAGGGAAGGAAGTATGGAGTTATGGGTAAGTAGGCTTGGCTATTTAAATAGGCAGCCATTTTAAATCCTTCACTTTTAATTACTACCTTGCTGAGTTTGTCCCGCCCACCCTCCCTGAATTTGGTTCGGACTTGGGTTATCCCGTTTTTTCACAGCGGCGGGATAGGGAGCTGAAGGAGAAGAAATAGGCTCCCTAGGATGAACGTCATGGAGACGTAAAACTGTGGTCATTGGTGGTTGGTAGGTTCCGAGACCTGTCGGTGGCTCAGAATCTGGTGGGGCAGGGGTATCCGGGTATACCCCTGCCATGGTTAATTTATGTTTGGCACTTTAAGTTGGTATGTTGGAATATGTTGATATGTATGTTATATATATATGTATATGTGTTATTTATATGGGGGTCATTGCCTGTTATATTAACAGAAGGATTCGGATGTGAGGGCGGAGTATGGGGGCAATGACCCATGTTTATTGTTAAATTATTATTGCTATGGTTATTAATATGGAAATTAATAAATTGTTATTATTCAAGATTGTTTAAATAAAGCTGTGGACAAATTTTCCCATATACCTTTGTGTCAGTGAGTTATTGGGTTAGGTATGTGGGAGGGTTGTCCTGGAGTCCAACTGCCCATATGGCGACTATACACCGGTCATGTGTTGTTAAATGTTTTATGAGCTCTCCTGTCCTGCTGATGCTTACTACTACTAACTAGCTTGATTTCGCTGCGGAACCTGTACAGTGCAATCTGTTGCTTGCAAACATATTGCAAGTTACCGTATTTATACTCACACTACATCCACCACACATTCAAACACTCTGCATTCATTATACACAGACACGGCATCTAATACACACTACATCCACTACACAAACACACACTACATCCACTACACAAACACACTCTGTATTCACTATACACACACTACATACACTCCAAAAACACACACACATTGTATCTAATACACACAAACACTACACACATTACACAAATGTAAACTCTGTATCCACTATACACTCACTCTGCATCCATTGCACGCATTCTCATTCTACATCCACTATACACACACCACATTCAGTCCTGCATCCTTGTCGGCGGGTGCAGAAAGAGCCCTGTGGGCGGAGTCGGGGTGGGCCCCGGGGGCCCAGACCTTGAGCTTTGTTTGGGGACCCAACATTTCTGATTGCAGCCCTGCCTGTAGTCAATAGTGGAGGCAGTTAGCAGCACTTGGTGGACACCAACTGTTCTAACATAGTTTAACTATTTGGACTGGGTGGCCTAATGGCACTACTGGCACCATAAGTACTACAGTTCACTACAGTTTACTACAGTGCAATATGTGAGCTACGGTAGTTGGAGTTCTTTAAAGGGCTACACACACACATTGTCGTGAGTTCTAAATTTCAAATCATTTGTTATTTCAATTATATAAAGCTGCATCATAACACAAAGTGTTACCCTCGAGCAAAATTACAGAACAAATGTAATTTTAGAATTAAACACATTTTATTAGATTAAATATTGGACAAGACTTAATGTCTTAATCAGATCATTTCCATTAATAAAACCCATTTCTAGAATGATTATCAAAATGTCAAAATAAGGACTCCATGGTACTGATGCTGGTACCAGATCCAAAGAGATTTTTTACTAGTCTGTTCAACTGGTTTCTAATTATATTGTTGCCCTGATTGGTGCATTACATAGATTGACAATTCTAAAGTCACCAATGATTACATTAATTATGCAATCATCAATCAGATAAAAAACAAACTAGATTAGTATTGACAGCTGAGGGTAGAAAGGTAGAGCCTGGGTGATGGTGCATTGATGGAATACACAGAGGGATGAAATGAGGTCAGTGAGTGGGGAATAGGACATAAGGTCAGGTGAATTGGACTATAAGGAACTATAAAGAGGAGGAAGGTTAAGGAAGGTATATGTGAATTGATAGGTTGCTTGCACTATGTATAATGTGAAAATAATTTTCAGTGATAAGGGCTCACAAGGATATCCTAAAATATTGGAGTAGTAGTATTATTAATATTGCTTATTTAACTAGAAATGTAACATAGCTAAACAGAAATAAACAAATATTATAAAACTTTATATTTAACAGACTCATGGCGTGATTTGTTTAAAATCTTCATATGTGTGCTTAGAATCTGCAAAATCTGAAATCTGTTGTTGGTCAATCATGTATTTTCCTTTAAAAATGTTAACGTTTTTCAGAAAACATATGTTACGAATGACCTGGCACCCCGACTGGGTACCTCCGTTAATGGATGGTTCCTAGCTGACGCTGAGGACTATAAGCACCGCACCAGAAACCACAACCACCGCAGACTCCACAACCGCCGCAGCTTAACTGGAATCTCGCCGTCTTCCTTTCACCCTGGTTCAACCTCTGACATTCAGGACCGTGTGGGAGAGACCTCTCCTCCAGGAGAGCATAACAAGAACAGCTCTTAAAGGACCACTCTAGGCACCCAGACCACTTCAGCTTAATGAAGTGGTCTGGGTGCCAGGTCCAGCTAGGGTTAACCCATTTTTTCATAATTATAGCAGTTTCAGAGAAACTGCTATGTTTATGAATGGGTTAAGCCTTCCCCCTAATCCTCTAGTGGCTGTCTCATTGACAGCCACTAGAGGCGCTTGCGTGCTTCTCACTGTGATTTTCACAGTGAGCACGCAAGCGTCCATAGGAAAGCATTGTAAATGCTTTCCTATGAGACCGGCTGAATGCGCGCGCAGCTCTTGCCGCGCGTGCGCATTCAGCCGGCGGGGCGTAACGGAGGCGGAGAGAAGGAGGAGAGCTCTCCGCCCAGCGCTGGAAAAAGGTAAGTTATTACCCCTTTTCCCCTTTCCAGAGCCGGGCGGGAGGGGGTCCCTGAGGGTGGGGGCACCCTCAGGGCACTATAGTGCCAGGAAACCGAGTATGTTTTCCTGGCACTATAGTGGTCCTTTAAAAGAGCTAAGTGATTAAAGCCCAGGGGAGTATACAAAGTATAGCAATCCCCACTGTGATTATAGCAGTTCCCCTCCAATCACGAGACAAGACTACGTGTTGAGGGTCAAACAGGATCAGAAAGTCTAATGGCACACACTAGTCTTTTATGCAAGTTTTACAGCAAAGATGACGCCTAGGTGGACCTGGTTGGGCACCGAATACAAAACATACAAGCCAATAAAAACAGAGGTTTACATTCAGACACTCCCATACAGTGTACACAATCCCTCGCCTCTGCCTGTGATACAATTAACGAAGACAATGTACTAACTCAATTAACTTTAAGCAGAAAAAACATACATTTTTACAAAGTCTGGAAAACACCCCAAAACATAACATATCCCCCTAAATCTCCTGATAGCCCTGATCAGGGTGAACAACATATCCAAAAATCACCCGGATCAGAGCAGAGGTTCAGGAAATTCCTGGAAGTTTCTTTTGACCGACCGCAAGCACATTTTCATGCCCAAAACAGTTCCAGAGAATTAGGCTGTGCAGCCGGTCTATTTTCAATGTTAAAAGTGCACTATAGTACAAGGAAGGGTGGGGTCGGACAATAGCAAGGGCTGATGGGAGATTGAGGAGGGACAAAGCAGCCAGTTTAAACTGGTCTGGCATTGTCTCTGGGACAACGCCCTGCTGGAGAAACAATAGGACAGGAAAAAGGGGGGTGGGAAGAGGCACATTTTCCCATGGCAGTCACTTTTTTTAACATGTCTTTTTGCAGGGCCCATAGTCTTTGGGCAAAAGGCTGGCCATTAGTCCTCTCCAAAAACCAGTGGCGAAATTTCGTCACAACATACATATAAAGACATACATAAGAACGAACACAGAAGAATTGACAATGTTGAGAAATGTCAATTCAATAACAAGCCCGAATTTCACCTATATATCAGACATTGCATCCTGTAATGTTATGGCAGTGTGGATCCACATAGACTGCTTTGACTCATCATGCTTTATTTTAATATGTGATATCTATGATATCTGCCTGAAGAGGTGGTTTTATCAGAGTCCCTACAGATGATTAAACAGCAACTGGATGAATTCTTGCAAAAACATAATATTCAGTGATATCATTTTTAATATGTGGGATAACAGCTTCTTGATCCAAGGAGAGATCTGACTGCCATTCTGGGGTCTCAAATGATTTTTAGTTTGTAGCAAAATTGAAAAGTGCTTCAACTTGGATTTTTTTTGCCTTCTTTTGGATCAGAGACAAAAACAATGTACAAAGGCTGTACTTCATGGATTCCAGTCTTTTTTCAGCCTGTATAACTATGTAACTGTGTATAGGGCAAACAATGACAGTCTTTGTTACTGATGACAGTCATTTTAAAGGGACATTATAGGCAGCCAGGGCACAAATAGTATGGGTGCAGTGTCCCTGTCCTAACTCAGTGAAACGACGCTGGACGTCTGAGGTTGCGCATTAGGTTTACCCCATCGGCTGGCATTGGAGAGGATGTAATTGTTTAAAGGTTTATTTAAACCTTTAAAGGCTGGTGGTGGAACTCAGGGCAGGAGGGGGTCGAGGCAGAGGGACACTTTAATGTTAGTTAATACAGCTTTATATTCCTAACACTATAGTGTTCCTTTAACCCCTTAAGGACACATGACATGTGTGACATGTCATGATACCCTTTTATTCCAGAAGTTTGGTCCTTAAGGGGTTAAGGTGATTTGGATCTTTGTCTTGCTAAGGAATCAAGGACAGTAACTGTATACAGTCCTCATGGAATGTTATGAGGCAAGCATTTACAAAGTAACATAAACCTTCACTACCAAATATCTTTTAAAAATTACTTGAAAGATTGGATTCATAGCTATAATATACACTGTAATGAATATTTACAAATGTCAAACAAATAGAAAAAAATGAAATGTACATGGAAATATGGAACCCATGGGTTATGAGAACAATCAGAGCCTTTCCATTTTATCAAATATTCAACCCAGTTGTAACAAATTTTGGAGTCGAGTATCTCCTCAATTTCATGTTCCTCATCATTGTCAATGAGGATAGGAGGAGGAGGAGGAGGCAATGGTGATAGGGGGTCAAAATTATAAATTTTTAATAAAGAAACATGGAAAGCAGGATGGATTTTCATGTTTAATGGGAGCAAAAGTTTATAAGAAACTTGATTGATTTGTTTTATTATTTTTAGAAGGACCGATGTAAGTGGGAGAAAGCTTTTTTGAAGGTCCTTGCAACTTTAAATATTTAGTTGAAAGCAAGACCGTATCACCTATTTGAAATAGGGGATTGCTACCCTGTCTGGAGTCGGCATTAAAGGACCACTATAGGCACCCAGACCACTTCAGCTCAATGAAGTGGTCTGGGTGCCAGGTCTATCTAGGGTTAACCCTGCTTGCTGTAAACATAGCAGTTTGAGAGAAAGCAACTCTAAGGTCTAATTTGGTAAACCACTTTGCATTCTTAATCCTTTCGAAAATTTCAGGAATTTAGGGGAGAGGGCATTGATGCTTAACAGTTATCTTGTTTAATTTGCGGTAATCAATGATAGGTCGGATAGACCCATCCTTATTAGTAACGAAGAATATTCCTGCTCCATCGGAATGCCTAAAAAACACTTTTTTCAGGTTGTTATCTAAGTAGTCCTTTAAAATCTTAAGTTCGGGTTCGTATAAAGGGTAAATATGACTGTAGGGGGTTGTAGACCCTTCCATAAGGTCGATAGGGCAGTCATTGGGTCTGGAGGGAGGAAGTTTACAAGCTTCAGTTTCACTAAAAAAGTCATCGAATTCAAGGTAATGATCTGGAATTATAGGGGACACAGATTTTGGAATGTTTTATGCAGGTGGAAGTGCAGTATTCAGAATCAAAATTAAAAGTATTTGAGGACCAATTGATTAAAGGGTTGTGCATTTTTAGCCAAGAGAGTCCTAATACGGCATTAAAAATTTAAAAATTAACAATGTCAAAAGCGATTTCTTCAAAGTGGATCTTCTCAATTGTAGTTTTAAGAGAGAGAGTTTGGAAACATAGCACCCGAATTAGAAACAGAACCATCAAAGAGAACGATTTGAGAGGAATGGGTTTTTCTATGAACTGGAATGTTGTAGACATGAATTGTTTTTTGGTTTAGAAAGCAACCCGATGGCACCAGAATCAATGATAGCAACAACATCAACCATTGTATGATTTACAAAAAGCGGAATTGTAACAAAGCAATTATCCTGTTTGTTTAGAGCTGTAGAAAAATAAGTATTGGAGTACTTACCAATCTTAGTTCGTCTGGAAAGGAGACAATTAGGTAGTAGATGAGAAGGAGATGCACAATACATGAATAAATTCATAGACTTTCTTCTGTTCTTTTCGGCATTAGATAAAGGACCTCTTATGGATCCTACTTCCATTGCTTCATTTTTTGAATAGCTGGGAGTATTAGTAGGTCAAGGGATAGATGAAATAGACGGTCTGGAAGTTAGAGGAAGAGGATATTTCTCTTTTCTCTAAATCTTCTGTCCAATTGAATAGTGAGGTAAATCAAGTTTGTGCAAGTTCGTCATGGAGGTTATCAAACAACCCTAGTCTATACTGGTACTTTAGGGTGGCCTCATTCCAAGAAGTATCAGTAGCAAGTCTCCTAAATTGTGAAACGTAATCTTCAGCAGTGTTTTTTCCCTGAGTTAGGGAATGTAGTAAGGTTTTAGCAGTGTAACTTTTATTAGTATCATCGTAAAGCTTATTCATCTCTTGTAAAAATAATTAAAGGGAAGAAAGACATGAATCATCTGATTCAATGAGTTGGTAAGCCCACTTAGCTGAATCACCTTGAAGTAAAGAAATAATGGTCTTTATCTTTACATCATTGCTGATGTTTGGGGTCTGAGAGCGAACATGAGCTTGCACTCGTGTATGAACCCTCTGTAGGAGGAACGATCCCCAGAAAATTTCACTATGACGAGAAAGGGAATGTTTTCTTAAAGTGTCCACTTGGTTTTGGATATCATTTAATTTGACGTGGAATTCCTGAATAGATTGTGTCAATAACTCAACCTGCGATTGTAGGGTCTGGAAAGCCTGGGAAAGGTTAGTGACTTCCATTTTTTAAATAGGTTTGACAATTGAAGGCACAGTTAATCTGTAATGAATATTTACAAATGTTAAACAAATAGGAAAAAAAATGAAATCCACTCACCCTTTCAAGGAAGTTCAGATCTAGCAGAGATAAGAGGTAATCCAATAGGCAATAGGTATGTCCGGTCCGAGGTCGGCAACAAGAGATTCAACAGAGATAAGGGGTAATCCAATAGGCATGTCCTGACATACAATTTAATAACACACAAATTTAATGTGCAGATTGCTATTCAGGGATTTAAAATATATTTATATTATATCAATTATAATGTTTCCATATAATTTTTAACCCTTCCAGAAATATTGGAGGAAAGGAGACAAAGTGTTTTAGCAACTTTATGTTATCCCTTATATAGCAATATTTCAGGGAGAGTAAGATATTTGCATTAAGGCCGACTTAAATATATAATCAACCATAATAGACATTGTGAAAAATAAATACATAGAAATGTGTAATATTTTGGTTATTTGTTTCTGTAGTATGTGATTGGGGGGTACTGCTCCCTCCCTGTCAGGGTCTTACCTGGAGGTGGGAGTCCGAAGTGCAGAGGTTTACGCTCACCCTTGCTGATAAACACAGCCCACTCTAAGCAGGTAAGAAGCCACCTGGGCTGTGAATCTGTGCACGGGGGCTTGACAGGAAAGGTGCTCTAATTCACAGTGCAGACATGGGCACAGTCAAAAGGATTGTCGAGGTGTAGCCGTGGTTAGAAACATAGAATGTGACGGCAGATAAGAACCATTCGGCCCATCTAGTCTGCCCAATTCTTTTAAAATTGAGGATGCCAGAAGTCAGAATAAACGAGTAGAGGACCAAGATCAGAAGGCTGGAGAATACTAACACAGGAAACAAAATAGCAGGAACCAAATACATCAACCGGAAACAATGAACTGACACTGCCCTCAGGGCGAAGAAGTGTTATATACCTGGATAATAAGCAATCTGCCTCAAGTGGACTTGGCGTGACAGGTAGCAGCCACAGGTGAAGTTCAGCCCCCTAATGCTGCAGACAAGGCCAGGTTAACTGGGCTAGAACCACACAAATAGAATATATAAAAAAAAAGCAAAAATCCTTAAAAATTACAAAATTAAAAAACAAAGTCAACAGGCAAATACAAAATAAGATACCAGGTAATCAGACACGGTCCCAAAATAGTTATGCTTCTTTCTTCCGATTTTCGTAAAATGCTCTTGTATAGGCTTCACTTATGACAGCGTATGAAAGAGAGCAGAGAAGGTAAATCAATAGTGCAATATGTCACTAAAATATATAACATACGACACTCAAGTCCAATTTTCAATTTTCAAATTTAATAGAGCTTTAACCAGCCCTGGATTAAACACCGTACAGTGGTTTTAATCCCCACTTGTAGGATATCCCTCTGAGGATAATTCACAACAGGGTAGTGGTGGGATGGACCATAGAGACCGGAAAGGGAAAAACGATAGTACTCCCTGTATGGCTGAGTATAAATAATAAATGAAAATATACTCACAATAAACTGAGCAGACAAACTGCTCTATGTTTCAAGTGTGAGTGGCATAATTCCCACCTGGGATTCTTTTGACAGTTGTCCGCAGGTGTCACAGGTGATGAATCTAAATTCGAGGTAGGAAATGAAATACTGAGCATAAAAAGACAAAAAAAGTATGTGGCAGAAACCAGATAATGAGGTAGCCAAACAGTACTTTTATTAATCAAAGACACAATAAATCCACAACGCGTTTCACATCTTGGGGCTTTTATTCACCAGAAATATCAGTCTTTGTATCTATGATAAATTTAAGATTGTTACTACACCAACAAGGTACAACAGACCAGGAAGTGAACCAGGTGTAGAGATCTGAAGCAATACACATTAACCAATCTCCTGTTGCCCTGACTAAATCACAATTTTGAAATATGGAACCCTGGGGGCCCAGGACGGCAAAGTAAGTTGCAGGCAGATGGAAAATGTGCCTCTAGGGGCCCAAATTTGTAGTTTTTCCTCAGTATACAGACTATCTGTGAGCTTGGACTGTTTTAAGTCAGACAGCATCTGTTTGAGTGTACTGGGGGAGGAGAGGAATAGAAGGAGAGAGTTTTTTTTTTTTTTTTTACTGGTAGCTCTGTACAGCATCCAGAACACATGCTCACACAAATATCTCTGCTCTTTCCTTAATGAAGTACAACTAATGTTTTACGATGAAGGCTATTAACTTGCTATTCCGCTGTGTTATGTTTTCGGTCTTAAATTACGGTAAGTCATTTTAAAAAAAAAAATCTATTTATTTTACATTTTTACATTAATATATACAATGTATGTTGATGCTATTTAAATTAGTTAGTTCATTTGATTGTCAAAAAAAAAAAAAAGCAGAGTCCATTTTTTCCATGTATGTGTGTTCTTTTTTTTATTAACCATTTCGGGACCAGAGATGGTCAAATCTCATGTTATCTTGACAGTACCGACTGGCCCTGAACAGGTTAATATAAAAGGATGTCAGTGTGTATGAATACTTAATAACACACACTTGTGCTTTTTCCTCTCTCGCTTTGAGTGTTTGTAAAAAGTAATGTCTTTTTTCTTCACGTTCCTGTATGTGTCTTAGTAATGTATCTGTGCAGACTTTGAGTATGGTTATATGCGTGCTTTTATAAATTAGTTTATTTTGTTAGAATGGTCATACTTATGACTATTTCCGCATCATGGAAATTGTGATTGACAACACCTGAGTGACAACTGTTAGACTATCATTGTATTAAAGTGCTAAAAGCACAAGCTAGGCAAATATTGCTGTAAAGTATTAAAAGAAGCAGTAAGTGAATTTATATTAAGATAACTTTACTCTCAAGGTGTACATTTGTGGATCATTGTACATGCGTTTGTGGATCATTGTACATGCGTTTGCGTTTACAAATTTGAATACATTGGCAAACACATGGGACATGGGAGGGGGGGGGATCAGTCACTCCCAACTTACAGAATAGTTGTGAATAAGAATAATAAGAATGCAATTATTTATATAGAACCCACATGTTCCACAGCGCTGTATATTGATTGTATTTAGTTATCATATGGATCCCATTTTTCCGGAGGTATTTCTGGATCCATTAAAATATTATTTTCTGAAACTGAGAATTGTGGAGAATTGACAATGGAATTGCACACGGAAGGCTTAATTAACTAGCTATTTTAGCCAACAATTTGAAATTACCTTGTCGAGTCTGCTCAATGCCCAGTTTAGTTCAAAAAGTGTAAAAAGTCAGACGACACCAGGAAAAAAATAAATCAGATATTTCTCTGCATCATTGTTACTACCGCTGAATTGAATGGTTCTAACAGTGTATGTGTCGGAAGACTTTCTGTTCCTTGCTTCACTCGTTATATCAGTGCAATTAGAAGATGGATGCACTCCGCTGACTAATTGTACATTGCGAAGAAAGCGTGTTGTGATCTTCTTAATCAGTTTATCTATTTAAACACTGCAGAGATGACGAAACAGTTATACCATCATGTCCAGTAAAAAAAAAAACAAAAAAAAAAAAACAGCCACGCTCCCCAAAGAACTTAAACCATATTCTGTAATGTAATGAAACCTCGAGATTTGGCAGTAATTCAACATGACAGGTTCACTGACGGACTACAGCAAGGGATAGATAACCTCTGAAATACAGGCTACGGTGGATTACAACTCTGATAATGTTAATCCAAAACTCGTATTCCACAGAGGTTAGATTATGAAGAGTTACCTAGATGTACCATAGCACTCATGGAGTGTGTCTGTATGCACGTTATAAATATGTAGGATTCTTTTTAAGCATAGAGCAATTCTTGTTTAGGCTCCCGTTTAGGCTCTCGATTGGCTCACGTGGATCAGAAAACTTTCTTACAGATTTCCAGGTCACATACATATCAGGTAAAAATACGTTCTGCAAAGATAAAACAGAAACTGGAAAAGGTTTAAAATATGCATAACACCTTTCCATAACAATGACTTTCTGCTCTGTTTCTTACAGCCAGGCTGACGTGGTGCTCGCTACAGGACTCTAAATGCATTTGTCTTTGCTCTTACATCGTGTTCCTAACAAACATGACCAGCGCACAGGCAATAATGTAACAACAGAAGGTTCAATTCAAAATGAAAGTCAATTTAAGGCCAAAGTAGCTGCAACTGAAGCAAAACTGATTGGGAGAATTTTTCCATTTTGGTTATTTTGGCCTTGAAAGTTAAATTCACTTGGAATTTCCAAGAGTTCTCACTGTAGTGAATAGCCCTGCATGTCTATGGAGTTATAGTGTGCACTGTATTCTTTTATTTTGTCCTATATAATTGAACTTTCTACTGTTGCATTATTGCAAATCAAAATAACATGTAATAGCATGTAACGTTTGGTATTGGTAATAAGCTGCAGATTTATGTAACATATTTGCCCAAGATTTTCTAAGGAATGTCCTAAGAAGTAGGAGGTTTGCAGATCCATATTTTTTTCCTGGGCATGTCATAGAACAGTAAATGAAAAAAGAATACCTTGTAGTATGACAAAATGATATGCTACAGGAAGGCATTAATAATGACATATGCTTCTTTAAGATCACAGCTTGAATAATTGAATCTCCTTGTTCAATATGTGCATTATTCATCATGGTGTGGGACAGCAACATGTAAAAACTATGCATGTCCAGGAAAACATGTCGGCTCTGTCAGTGCTGCCAAAGATGCTGACAGTCAGATGGACTTAAATACAAGTTTGTATTGCTGTAGGGTCAGGAAAACAAACGTGTGTTCCTGATCATATAGTGTTAAAAACACTATTTAGGTGACTGCCTCCTCTCCCTCCCTTAAAAAAGGTAGAAACGTACCTTTAATCTAGACCCATGCAGCGCTGGCCCCACCCCTGCTCCCATCTGACAATCTCAGCCAATCCAATGCTTTCTCATAGAAAAATATTGGATTGGCTGAGATCTTCAATTATGATTAACTCAGCAAAGGAGGCGGGGCAGAACCAAACACAGTGCTGGCCAATCCGCATCTCCTCATAGAAATGCATTGAATTTGGTGACTATAGTGTCCTTTAACTTTGTGTGTGGATACATCATGTGTGGTCTTGGAATACTCATCACTTAGTCCAGGCAGCCTTGGAGTGTGACTTTACTGTCTTACTCAATTTTAAAAGGCTTTGGTGCTATAAGTCTTTGGGCACAGCCTACCATGGCAAATAATTTCAGCCAATCTCGACATGGACAGAGGATACCCATGGATTTAATTAAATCTGAGATCTCACACTTAATTAAGTTTAAATCTTGTTTGGTGCCCTTATTGACTTTTACAGCACACTAGGGATCAAATGTACTTCACTACACTATACCATCTGGGGCAAAATATGTAACTTTTGCTAATTATTTTATTTGGTATATAAATCTCTAGCTATGAGAGGTCAGAGAGGTCAGTTTTCTCCCTCCATAGATGTAAATTAAAGAGCCAATCTTGTGACTTTCATGGGGTTGGCCTTTGAAGACCAGTTTTCCAACCAAATGGAGGTTATATGGATGAATCTGTAAGGGTTAAAGATTACCAGAAAATCTTACAATTCCCGGTTGCATTATAGACGTTTTTCTTTATCCTTATCCTTGAGGAAACTGTACTGTGGGTACTGTCGTGTAGCTGTAGGCAAATGTATTAGACGTACATCTTGCAAAGGGGTTGATTGCTACAAAGATTCAAGGCATCCAATATGGTATTTTTTAAATATGGCAAATCTAGTTTTTATTTTGTTGTACACATATTATGTCAAGTACAGACCATGATAAAATATTTTCCAGATTAACTGAAAACAGCCTCCTTTGTTTACAGGGGTGATTGGCTCTAATGTAGAACACAAGCTGTACAAAGATCTCTTCACTCGGTATAACCCATACATCCGACCCGTGGAGAATGTATCCGACCCCGTCATTGTCCAGTTTGAAGTGTCAATGTCCCAACTTGTCAAAGTGGTGAGCATGCCATACTCTATTAATTTACTTTGGATTCATCAACAAAAATGGTTAATTGGTGGATTTGCCGGGGATATCTGAATTGCATAAGGCATTTTTATTATGCAAGTCGTTTACTTGTTGGATCCTTATAAGGTCTTTTGAATAAAACACTGTATTCAGCTCTGTGGATCTGTCTGTGAGAGTCATTATAGATAACGTTTAACATAAAGCTAATCTGAACAGGGCCCGCAACACTCTCTGTTCCTGTGCATCCAACTCGTCTTGTTGTAGTCGGCCCACTGCACATCACTATGGAACTTGTAAGCGCTTTATAAATAATAATAATAATAATATAAAGCCAATTCTGTCGGGTCTGATATCAGGTGAAGGAAGGATTGCTTGGTTGGCGAGATTAGCATGGAATGTGTCTATAACGAAATTAGTACTACGGACAGCGAAGGCATGCCACCACAGTGTGCATGTCGGCCAAGAGTAAAAAAAAAATCCATTAAATAAAAGCAACTTGAAACACAAAAATCTGACCAAAAACTTTTAAAACCACAATACAAAAACAAAAAATTAACATTAAAGGCCTGTATAACAGAGTATACCCATGCTATAGCTGGCTTGTTCCAAGACTAGAAGGCAAAATATCCGGACCATATTCTCTTTTCTTCATCATTGCAAAATACAGACATTAATAAATTATGATGTCAATGTCTGGATTTTCCAGTCTGAATGCTGCTGTAAAAAAAGGGGGTATTTTTTTTTTTTTTTTACCTATTCCAAACATTACATTTAACGTTAGTGATTTACCCTATTAGTGTACATATCCTTCTGATGTCTGCCCTAAGGCAATTTAGGCGGTCACGATGACCCAGTCACCGCGAGGCCTTAGGCTGCCGCCTAAATCGCCTAATTAGAGAGCCACCTCTGCTGAGGGGATTTCGAGGTTCTTTGTGAAAAGACCTTTATAGGGATGGGATAGGTTTAGGGATAGGATAGGGTATAGGTTAGGGGTAATGCTAGAAAAGGTGTAAGGTTAGATGTAGTGTAGGGATAGGGGTAGGATTGGAGATGGGTTAGGTCTGTTATAGGATTACTGTTAACTACCAAAAATGAAATTAGATCTTATGAGACAGAGCTCCCGTACTCCGACCAAGTACCTCCACCAGGCCTGCTTCCACACTGCCACAGGGGATCTGGATCACTTCAGACCCTGTCCCGGAAGCTTGACTGGCGTCTCTCAGGAACATGTCCTCCTAACCAGGCTGCACCTCTCTTCTTCCAAGCATGTATCAAAACCTCTGCTTGCACTTTGATCTGCCACTGCCTTTACAAAGGCACTTGTGGCTCTCAGGCTTTGTTCTTTTGACTTGTCCCAGGTTCCAGGGGTGAAGCAGCCAGCCAACAGGTCCAAAGACTGTGTTACTGAGATCCCAGAATAACAGACCAGGACAAACAATTCTTTATTTTTGGATAAATACTAGTCTTTGGTGACAAGCCTTTAAAATACAAATATACAGAGCAATAGAGTAATTATAATTAATACATGAAGTATCTAATACAAGTAACATGTTTTACACAATAAAAAGCATCAATATATGCATTTAACCATGTATTTGGTTGCCATTATTTGCATACCAGCATTATGCAAATGTTCACACTTCCATTCAGTCAGCAGAGGGTGCTGCAGAATTATCAAGTAACAATGAACAGTTTGTTTTTCAATTTCTTCCATCACAAGTCCCTTTCGAGGGCTCTTGGGACCAGGTCCATAGTTGGGTGGCAAAAGGCTGACCTTCAAGCCTCTCTAAAGGGCCTTGGCATGGGAGCGTCTGCCACAAAATACATAAGAGACATTTTACAAATAGGACCAATATGTGAATCTATTTTGCGTTACTTAAAGTAATTTTTTTTTAATTGCATTTTTAAAATTTTAATGTGTGTTTCAGTGTGTGCATCTGAGTGTGCGTGTATGTGCCAGTGTGTATGTATCTGTGTGTCAGTGTGTGTATCGGAGTGGATGTGCCAATGTGAGCATCTGAGTGTGTCAGTGTTTGTATCTGTGTGTCACTGTGTGTATCTGACTGTGTGTGACAGTGGGTGTTTCAGTGTGTGCATCTGAGTGTGTGTCAGTGTTTGTATCTGTGTGTCACTGTGTGTATCTGACTGTGTGTGACAGTGGGTGTATCTGTGTGTCACTGTGTGTAGCTGACAATGTGTGACAGTGTGTGTATCTGTGTGTCACTGTGTGTATCTGACAATGTGTGACAGTGGGTGTATCTGTGTGTCACTGTGTGTGTCTGACTGTGTGTGACAGTGGGTGTATCTGACTGTATGCGACAGTGTGTGAATCTGTGTGTCACGGTGTATCTGAGTGTATGATACCTTTATGAAACCAAGTAAGACATGAGAGCTTGTAGAAACACTGCCAAGGTTCGCAGGCTCATAGAGCACCATGTGGAAGTATTACAAAAATACCGCTCTGTTACCACTTTACATTACCGCTGCCATTAAATACTCCTGGATAATTAACACATAATAGAGCATGGAAGTTCTTGCATTCAGGTGTCTAAGTACAACATGATAACTGACCTGGATCAGGTAATGGGTAGGTTTTATGTGCCAGTGTCTATGTTTGAGAGTGTGTATGCACTAGTGTGTATATCTGTGTGTGTATGAGCTAGTGAGTATATCTGTGTGTGTATGAGCTAGTGAGTGTATCTGTGTGTGTATGCACTAGTGTGTATATCTGTGTGTGTATGAGCTAGTGAGTGTATCTGTGTGTGTATGCACTAGTGTGTATATCTGTGTGTGTATGAGCTAGTGAGTATATCTTTGTGTGTATGAGCTAGTGAGTGTATCTGTGTGTGTATGCACTAGTGTGTATATCTGTGTGTGTATGAGCTAGTGAGTGTATCTGTGTGTGTATGCACTAGTGTGTATATCTGTGTGTGTATGAGCTAGTGAGTATATCTTTGTGTGTATGAGCTAGTGAGTGTATCTGTGTGTGTATGCACTAGTGTGTATATCTGTGTGTGTATATGCCAGTGCGTTTATCTGTGTGTCAAGGTGGTCATACATGTTTGGTGGCTGTATGTGTGTGTGTGTGGGGAGTGGAGGGAGGGGAATTTTGGTGCATTTTTGAATGTTGGGATGCCTGCTTAAAGTGAAACCTTTTAAATATGATGGAACAAACACATAACACAAATTCTAGGTTTTCTTTTGGTTCAGAAGTTGGACAATTGTCTTTGTCCTTTAAGGGTTAATATAAAACGCAAATACAAAATACCATTGGCTGTTAAAGAGTTAATCCAATTTTCTAACAGTACAACAGATGAAATATAACACATGTGCTCCCCAGTGGGTAAGAATATATAAAATAAAATTACCCTTTCTATGAAAAATATAGATTGTAAGAAGATCCCTCAAGTTTTCTCATTAATACACAAGCAATACAATCTAAAAATATAAGAACACACAGAAACCAATAATGGTGTAGTATATTAAAAATACTAAAACTTGCGCTTGTGGAAAATTTCACTTACAAGATGGCAGTAAGTGATAGGTGTATCAAAATCTTTGGGGTTTGGAGGAGTTCCGAATTCTTCCTCTTTGGACCTTAATTAAAAGATTAAGAGGGAGAGACACAAAACATAGTGCACCACTAAAATAAAAAATAAAGGCTTTATTTTAGATTGCACTCATAATATTGTAGTTAAAATCCAGCATATCAGACACTAAGTCTCTCCAGTACCACGGTCTCTTCTAACCTCAGGGCAAACTTTGTAGTGGCCGGAACAAAAAATCAGCAGAAAAAATAAACAGTAAAAATAAATAAAAAATAAACAAAATAATAATACAATTCATAATGAAGTCCTGTTCAGGATGAAACGTGTAGGGCCGGAGAGACCAAGAAGGCACTTTTTTATTGTTATTGTTATTTTTTATTGTATTATTATTTTGTTTATATTTTTATTTTTTTGTTGTTTATTTTTTCTGCTGATCATGATGAAGTCCTGTTCAGGACGAAACGCATAGGGCAGAGAGACCAAGAAGGCACTTTTTTTATTGTTATTGTTATTTTTTATTGTATTATTATTTTGTTTATTTTTTTATTTTTTTTTGTTGTTTATTTTTTCTGCTGATTTTTGTTCCGGCCAAGGCCGGATTAACATAGGGGCTGATGAAGCTGCAGCTCCAGGCCCAGGCCCATGGAATAGGCCCATTTAAAAAACAAAAACAAACAAAAAAAATGTTACTTTTTCTTTTTTTTTTTTTTTACACACTACTTTTGGGTTTGCCACCTGACTGGTATTTTACCAGCGCAGCCTGTATTTGAGACTGCCTGGCTGTGCCAGTATTGCAGTAATACCGGCAACACAAATGCAGAAATTTTTCTCAGTATAAATGGAGATTACTATGCAATACCAGCACCAGCCAATAGGGGTCACTGTGTGTGGAGAGAGGCAGAAATAGGAAGTTACTCCCTGCCTCTCTCTACTCACTGACCCACGGGGGCGCAGCTACACAGCACAGATAATTCAGACCGCGGCTCCCAGCCTGCAGAAACAAACTACATCTCAGGGAAGTGAGGGATGGGATAAAGACTGAAAGATGGGGGGCGAAAGGCAACAGGGAAACATGGGGACACTGAGACACTAGGGGACACTGTGAGACATGGGGATGCTGAGATACATGGGGATGCTGTGATACATGGGGACGCTGTGAGACATAGGGACATTGGGAGACACATTGGGACATGGAGACACTAGGGACACAGTGTCTCCATGTCTTCCAGTGTCCCCATGTCTCCCAGCCAATGTCCCTAGTGTCTCAGTGTCCCCATGGCTACCAGTGTCCCCTAGTCTCCCAGTGTCTGTGTCCCCATGTCTCCCAGTGTCCCGAATGTCTGTGTCCACATGTCTCCCAGCCAGTGTCTCCATGTCTCCTGGTGTCCCTATGTCTCCCAACCACTGTCCCTAGTGTCTCAGTGTCCACATGTGTCTCAGTGTCCCTAGTGTCCCCATGCCTATGTCCACAAGTGCCCCATGTCTCCCAGTGTCCCCAAGTGTCTGTGTCCCCATGCCTCCCAGCCAGTGTCCCTAGTGTCTGTGTCCCCATGTCTCCCAGTGTCCCCTAGTCTCCCAGTGTCTGTGTTCCCATGTCTCTCAGTGTTCCTAGTGTCTTAATGTCCCCAAATGTCTCAGTGTCCCCTAGTGTCTGTGTCCCCATTTCTCCCAGTGTCCCCAAATGTCTCTGTCCCCACGTCTCCACATGTCTGTATCCAAAAGTGTCCCCATGTCTCCCAGTGTCCCCAAGTGTCTCAGTGCCCCCATGTCTCCCAATGTCCCCATGTCTCTGTGTCCCCTGGTATCCTAGTGACACGGGAAACACTGAGACATGGGGACACAGGGAGAAAGGAGGACACTGAGGCACTGGGAGACTAGGGGACTGGGCGACATGGGGACACTGACACTGTGATACATAGGGACACTGATGCCAGGATGGCCTTCCACTTCTTTGGACAGACATGCCCCCTTTTTTGGTATGTTCGCCCGTTTTGGCAGTTCTGGTCACGGGATTCGCGTCAGTGGCCCACCCTTTTACCCCACCCATTGACTTCCTACTTCACGGTATACTGCTTTTAGGAGGTATGGCTTTACTTGAAAGATGAAAGCATGAATTAGAGAGAGATTAGCATAGAGTATGTGTTTTCTTATAGCTGCATCCTTTGAGTTTCCCTCCAACACCATCTTCACCAGATACATGATGCTTGGGTGGTATGGTTGTTTTAGTGTTTTTAGTTGATAAGATTCTGTAATTAGACCCCATCATAACTGTCAGCACCAGGCCCACTGGGCTCTAATCTGGCCCTGGTTCCGGCCACTACAAAGTTTGCCCTGAGGTTAGAGGGGACCATGTTACTGGAGAGACTTAGTGTCTGGAGAGACTTAGTGTCTGGATTTTAACTACAATCTTGTGAGTGCAATCTAAAATAAAGCCTTTATTATTGATTTTAGTGGTGCACTATGTTTTGTGTCTCTCCCTCTTAATCTTTTAATTAAGAGGAAGAATTCGGAGCTCCTCCAAACTTCAAAATCAAGATTTTGATACGCCTATCACTTACTGCCATCTTGTAAGTGACATTTGCCACAAGCGCAAGTTTTATTATTTTAATATACTGCACCATTATTGGTTTCTGTGTGCTCTTAATCCAATTTCTGCTTTCTTTTGAGGTAATTTTCCTAGATTTTGGAAATTAATCCAATATTTAGCCCTATGTTGACAAAAAAGTTAGTTACTTTACATGTGTGTTTTCAAAAGACAAATTCCACTTATTTTTTGTTGATTTATCTTTAACGAAATGAACACTCCACTCCAAGCACCATACTCACTACAGTGCGCTCTACTGGTTACGGTGCTAGGAGTGCCGTTCCTTGCCTGGGGTCCTCCATGTGCCGTTCCTGACTCCAATGCTGCTCAGTGAGAGCTGGAAGCTCTCTGTCTGATCTAAGCCGGGTTCTTCGGGACTTAGCTCATTGCCTGAGCGCAATAGGCTGAAGTTCTGGCTCAGAGAAGCTAATGGAAACTACATCATAAGGATTTCCGTCTCTCTTGTAGCTGTAGAATGGTTAAGTTCCTTAAAATTGTTGGCACAGCACTCCTGGCACCATAACCACTACAGCATGCCCGTGCCGTTCTCGCTATTGGTGAAGGAAACAGAAGGAAACATCTCCTTTCCTCCTTATATTGTATTATATTGTACTGTTATCACAGGTTATTGATTGTTCTTCAACAAGTAAAATTGCCAGTTCATTTCAGAATAAAGTTCCCACACTAATTGGCCCACGTTTATATTGTTTATGTAACTGATGTCAGTAAAACAACCCATTACCTGATCCAGGCCAGTTATCATGTTGCATTTAGGCACATTAATGCAAAAACTTCCTTGCTCTCTTGTGTGAGAATTATCCAGGAATATTTAATGGCTGCGATAATGCAAAGTGGTAACAGAACGGTATATTTTTTAATACTTCCGCATAATGCTCTATAAGTCTGTGAACCTTGGCAGTGTTTCTACAAGCTCTTATGCTTTACTTAGTTTTCATTACAGTTATCCTATACATTTTATATTTCTAAACAAAGCCATTCGTCTACCACTGCTTCGTAGGTAAGTCAAAATAAGCAAGGAAAGGCAAATTCATTTTGGAATATATTTTGCAAGCCTGGTAGTCATCACATTTCCTTAAACATCCTTGTTTAACCACTTAAGGACATATGACACGTGTGACATGTCATGATTCCCTTTTATTCCAGAAGTTTGGTCCTTAAGGGTTTAAAGATGCCTTTCAGGTAATACTATTATTATGTCTGTTTGTTTTCTTTAGGACGAAGTTAATCAGATTATGGAAACCAACCTTTGGTTGAAACATGTAAGTAATTTAATATTACTCTTGTGTAATTATATTTCCAGATCTAGGTATATAACCTACAGTTGCAGTAGTCAAATGCTTTAAGTGATTTGTGACAGAGAATAGCTTACCTCCCAATATTTTAAATGGATAAAGAGGGACACTTTAATTTTAATGGTGTCAGTGTGTTCTTACAAATTTGCGGTAACTTGTTAATAACAATTTATGCAACTAAAAAGTAATTTAGAGCAACACCAATTTATCTTATTTACACAATGTGATTTCTAAACAGATTTATTTAAAGACGCATCACTTTTAATGTTATTGCTGTGGAACTGTTATACACTCAGACACACCAACAATATGGAGCTAGTAGAAAAGTGGGACAGATGGATTTGGGCCCAAAATAGGGACTGTCCCTGCTGAATAGGGACACTAGTGAATAATGGACCTCTGAAAATTCTGAACACTGCTTGAGAACAGTGACTCACAGGGCTGGCTGTGAATGATGAATTCCACAGAACTTGTATAGAAAATGTATATAGTATTAAAATGATATTTCTCCTTTGCTCAATAAACTGTAGGCAGTATTACAAAATACATCAATATGATTTTGCAAAAACAAACAAAATGGACAAATCCATCTATTTTGTAAAGAGATTTACTGAATTTGATAAACCAACCTCCCATGTAAAAAAAATATATAATTCTACATCTTTATAGTTCTTAATGTAAATAACTATTTCCTCTGACATAGGTAAAATCTCCTTCTTTCAAGTCTCAGGTATTCCATTTACTTGAGTTGGATCAATATTAATATAGTTGGAAATGGTCTTAAGAGCAATATATGTCTTTCATGTAAGTGGTTTATTAGTAGAATTGTACTGGTATAGCTTTGTTAGAAGTGATATCACTTAGGGACATCATGCGGTTTCTTATATCTCTTTATTAAATTACAGTTGATGCACAAGTCATATTGTATGTCCAGCATTTCCTTTGATAATATAAAGGCCCTTGTTAGTCATAACAGTTATGTGCCTTGATCAGTAATGCAAACTGATGGACATTAATAGAGAGACCATTAAAAGACCAGTTAAGGCAATTATTCACTTTGCAACAAAAAACAAATGCATATAAATCCCCATATATGTTCTATGAGTCATATTGTGGTAAAAGCTACAGGATGTTTAAGTAAAGTTCAGTAACTATCCTGGATCAGGGCGCATGTGTGGAATGTCAGGAACATCCGCTATTAGGTAACGTATGTAAGAGATACGTTTAAGTTTAATAATTGGTTGTAGCTATAGTGATGTAGGTGTAATTTTCGTATTCTCTTTATATGTAAGGAATACGTTATTTGTAGTATATATCCTTTATTCTCTTGTAAACGTGTGCTTAGTTGGGTATTCCAAGACTATTATCTGACTGAGACCTCTGCAGGTGCAAAAACTAATAAATACCCTTTGTTCTTCAATGACCTGTGTACTTGTTTCATCTCTGACTCGAGAATTCTATTTCAATATCTTGTCTTTGGCAAACTCCCCAAACAAGCTCCATGCATATAATCTTATTGAATCAATGTAGGTTTCCAGGCAAACTGCAGAACAATATCCAATGATGAACCTATGAGGAAGCAATGTAATGTATTTTCTAGAATTAAAGTAGATGAGCTAGTGGAATGCTGGGAACTTTTCTGCTTGCTATGCGACAAAACATCAGCATTTGGTGTGGTTACTGGGATAAATACATTCTAAAACGTAACAATAATACGTGTCATAGGTTTTATAATCAGTCATTAAACAACAAATGGACTGCAAAAACAAAATGAAAAAAGACCAAACAAATATATTTGCCTTCTTAATTTCGGTCTGAGTCAATGTAGGGGTGAATATTCCCTTCAATGTGTTTTGATATTGCTTCACAGTGATGTATTTTACAGACTATGCAAAACACAAACAGCCATTAAAAGCAATATTTGGACTCGATCTTTTTAGTGACTTTATGGATTTGTGCTTCTTTCCTGTTGCTGCACTTTATTATTTATTTGTGCTGATTAAACTGAGTATTTTATTGGCATTGACTGGTCAAAGGAATATGTTTTTGATTGGTTACATTGAATTGCATTTAATTCTCTGTGACAATGATCCTAGCCTACTGGTGTTTCCTTGTGTTCCAGATATGGAATGATTACAAGTTAAAATGGAACCCCGATCAATATGGAGGCATTGAATTTATTCGAGTACCTGCAGATCAGATCTGGAAACCTGATATTGTTCTCTACAACAAGTAAGAATGTTTAGGTACCCTAAACGGAAATACTGCTTATTTATTACTCTGAACCCTCATAATAGGTTATAAGGATATTTACCCAGGACACATCACCAGAGTGGGCCTCCAAAGTCATGTTTCACACCCTTTTGTAAAATAATTAGAAGGCTTTGAAGCGCGGCTTCAAGCCACACCTCCAAACCCTCTTGGTATGACAGCCGTGACTGTTACTTCCTGGATTTTATGCTGTAACATATCATTAAGTAAAGTGTGCATGCACAGTGCTGTCACGGGCGCCCATAGAGATTCACTGAGCGCTGCACATGCACCTCATAGAGGAGCATTGAATTGGACCACCACCATGGATGCATGCCTCCAGGATGCCACAAGCCAAGATGAGGCCAAGGAAACACTGAGGGAGAAAAGGTCATTTGGAGAAAAGGTCAATTTGAATAAAATGTTAGATTTTTTTTTTAAATTAACTTTTGGGGTGCCGTCAATGTATTAGAAACATCAGGACTGCAGTGTTAGGATATACAGATATGCATTCCTAATCCTAACACTGAAGTGTTCCTTTAAAATATATCCTTCTCAAAATGCACTCCAAGTGTGGGAAAATTGTAACTCTAATGATTTAAAGAGCTAAATTGCAGATAATAAATTACATAACAGGGAGTGAAAATATGTATATATCTCCAGCCAAATAGCACTGCCACTGGGGAGCAGTGGGAATGAAAAATCCATTAAGGCAAAAAGTTAAATGGATATAAAGCACTCCAAATGTTTCTGTATCCAGTACACAAGTGAATATAGCCCAATCCAGGAAACAAATAGAAAACGCCTAAAGTGCAATAACAATTCAGATTACAATATCAGTACTAGACCATAAGCTGGAGGAAAAGAAAATCAAACTTCATCTCTGTCTTGCTACATAGCCCCCAATGCATGCTTTGCACATTGCTCATTAGGGATCCCCTCAGATTAAAGCCAGACTGCCCACAATATTATTTGAGGGCCAGGAGTGTAGCAGTAGAGCAGTCCACAGATAGATGTTTTTTCACAGGTTTATTGAATCAATGCGGAATGGGGAGATGCAGATTGGCCAGGGCTGTGTTTGGCTTGCGCTGTCTCTGCCCCAATCTGCCTCCTTGACACTTTCAGCCAATCACTATGCTTTCCTATGGGAAAACATTGTGATTGGTTGAGATCACTACTTCTGATGATGTCAGCCAAGGAGGCAGATCAGGGACAGAGCCAGTAGCAGCAGGCTGAAATAAATGTAAGATTTTTACTATATTTAGGGGGCAAGGCAGAGCCAGCAAGGCTAAATGGTGTTTTTAACACTAGAGGGTCAGGAATACATGTTTGTGTTCCTGACTCTGTATTGTTCATTTAAGTTAAAGCTCCACAGTGCTTTCTCTACACACTTATGCGAATTGCGACAATCCTTCAACAAACTAGCCTTTGGCACATCCCATGTTAAACATTCTGTGGATATCCAACCATAATATCTCTCTAGATGACATAAACAAAGCACCACTTCTCTTATCTTACTTATTGTCCTAAGTGATGATTCAAGAGATGCACTTCAGAATTATATGTCATGCCTATTTTCCTCTTGAAAAGCATCACAAAGTGAGCTTATGCTCATGCCCTTTGGACACTTGCAGTAAGAATGGCGCCACAGGAAAGCCCCTGAACCATTGCTTGTGGAACTTTGTTCTGGTTAGGAACTTCTAAAATACTTAAAGAAACACACTAAGAATTCTCTTTCAGTCTTCTGTTGAAGCCTACATCCTTAACATTTTATTATTATTATTATTTATAAAATATTTTACCAGGAAAGATACATTGAGATTTCTCTCGTTTTCAAGTATGTCCTGGGTAACATAAGCATGGGATAGACACCAAGGCATATTAAAATAATACAGGTGGCCTTGGCGTAACCCGTAAAACCATACTAAACCAATTGACCCAATCCCAGCCGCATGATGGCCTGTTTGAATAAAGACCAGAGTCCCAAACATGTTTTCACTGTATGGGGGCCTATATACAACAAATATTGACTCTGACCTTTGTCACAACTAACTCATGGGATAGAACCAATAATGCCTTAATTTGTCATTTAGTGTATAACCGGGTTATTGTATTCTAAATACAAAGGCCTCGAAACATTCTTACTATACTGATCCATAAGAAGGGTGGTAAAATTATTGAGTAATAATTGCTGGATTAGTCAACTAATTGATTGATAACTTATCTGCAATTTCTTTCTGTATTAATCCTGGAGATGTTTTCAAAGTTTTGTCTTTGTTGGGTTCATGCTGAGCTTGAAGAGAGGATGGGAGGTACAGGGAAATTGACAATGATGCAATGAATATGGTTTGTTAAACATGACTCTCAAACTGCTTACTTTTTTAATTATTGCATCACCACATACATTGCATTATGGTTTCTTTGTTGAAGCTTGTCTTTCAATAAAAAAATGTTGAGACTAAAAAATATATTGTATTTTTGTTTCCAGTGCAGTTGGTGCCTTTCAAGTGGATGACAAAGCAAAAGCCTTGTTGAAATACTCTGGAGATGTAATTTGGATCCCACCAGCTATATTCAAAAGCTCCTGTAGGATTGATGTGACCTTTTTCCCATTTGACTACCAGAACTGCACCATGAAGTTTGGCTCCTGGACCTACGATAAAGCAAAGATCGATCTAGTAATGATTGGCTCTGCCATTAACCTGAAAGAGTACTGGGAGAGTGGAGAATGGGTTATCATCAGCGCTCCCGGATACAAACACGAGATAAAATACAACTGCTGTATAGAAATTTATCAGGATATCACGTATTCCCTTTATATCAGACGTCTACCGTTATTCTATACCATTTACATGATAATTCCGTGTCTCCTTATTTCTTGTCTTACTATACTAGTTTTCTACTTGCCTTCAGATTGCGGAGAGAAAGTCACCTTGTGTATGTCTGTTCTTTTATCCCTAACAGTGTTTCTTCTGGTTATTACCGAAATCATCCCCTCTACTTCATTAGTCATTCCACTTATTGGTGAATATTTACTTTTCACAATGATATTTGTTACACTTTCCATTGTCATTACCGTATTTGTGTTAAATGTGCATTACAGAACGCCTAAAACACACACTATGCCACGGTGGGTAAAGAAAATCTTCTTGCAGTTACTTCCAAAAATTATGCTCATGACCCGACCAGTTAAAGAAGATTCTTCTACTGTGAAATCACCATTAAATGCAGATATATTTAACATAACTAGCATCAGCAGTTCCGAGATACAAAGCTATACGGACCAAATGTTTTATCAGGACAATGCATGTCCATGTGGCCAGCAAAAAAGATTTTACCCCCCAGAAGTTGCATCCAGTCTAACGAGGGGCTCTAGCCTAGAATCCATGGACAATCAGGTCTCAAATTCTGGATTATCCCTCGAGATACGTGAAGCCATTGAGAATGTGCATTTCATTGCACAGAACATGAGAATCCAGAATGAAGCCAGAGAGGTACGAACATTTTGACCTTTTACAGTATGTGTGTGTGTGCAGGTGTTTAGCAACAACCTGGGAACTTCAAGTTAGCTGGCTACCAGGTCATTTGAGCATGTAGAACTCTGTACTGGAATATATAGAAAAGCTTGAAAATAGGTTAAAGTAAAAAGCAAAAAAGGCTGAAAACTGTAGGAAGGCTAAAATATATATAAGAATATATTTATGATATATGGGAAGGCTAGTAATATACATAAGAATTATCGTTACTGAATTTTATGGACAGAAAAAATAAATGAATTATTGGAAAGAAAACACCACCCAAAGGTGAGAAACCATACAAAGGTAACAATTCTGAGACACTGGGCAAATAGACACACCTCACCACCTTATATTATAATTAAAAGTTTTATTATTCACTTTTTGATGGGTAGCCTGTAAATTGCACTTATTTGGTTTATTTTCTATCTCTGTGCTCCTGGCCATTATCTTTACTCTTTCTAAGTATGGTAGGCACACAAACTATTTAGTATGTGCCAAGGTTGCTTTAGTACTATGAAAAAAATAATAATAAATAAATAGAGTCTCAAATTAAAGTGAGACTCAAAGCTGTTTTTTATACAGAGTAGGGGAAGTAAATAGTGGTGTGGGCTGCGACGGGTCAGACAATAAGCCCAGAGTTTAAGGTAGGTGGGGATTGCCAAAAATTCTCACTCACATATAGTTCCAAAAAAGTGCGAAAAAATAATAAATACTTTATTGATGCGTCAAAAATAGAAAGCACTATATATGGAACAGCTGCTGTGAGGCAAAATGTACAAAAAGTCATCAGAGGGTCCTCTGTGTCTTTAGAAATAAGGCACAAATCTCTAAACAATATACTAAACCCAAGCAGGAAATAAATATTAATTGCTATGGGAAGTCCATTAAATAGTGGTTAGACTAGTACAGAAAGAGGCTCAGGAGATCAGTAGTATAAGCAGGAATTAGCTATTAACAATATAGGGACAAGTTTAGCAGCTAGAGGGCATCAGAATCTTCCATAGAAGAAAGGCATGTATAGTAATGAAGACAAAGAGGTATTTAAAGAGCAGTCAATATAGAGGTGCTCAAAAAATCTCAGAGGTTAACAAGTAGTACTGAATCTGGCAGGTAGCACCAAACTTAGAATATACTGAGCTAGTACACCCTGCTGCTCCTATGCCAACACCTTTGAGGGTGTTCTGTGCTGTCCCTAGTTTAAGTATAGGCTGAAACCTCCCAAGATTCTCCACCAACCAAAAACCTCAGAGCAAAGAAAATTAAAGTGTTAGACACCTAGTGCCACCATGAGTGAAATTAAAATAAAATAAATACAGGAAACCCGACGCGCATTTCGGTGCGTATAGCTGTACCTTCGTTAGGGGATAAGAATACCTTGGTTTCTGAAGTTGAATTTAAAGCTCAGGTGACCAATCCACGTCGTCCTCAAGTCATGACTGAATGTTCATTAGCAGGTGTGAGGAGAGGCGTGATGGGAGCGGGAAACAGGCGTCCACTCAGTGGAGCGATAGCTCCTCCCTTTTCGGGTTGTCATCAAATCGTCTCTAAATAACCATTTGCAAATGTGGGAGGAGGGCGGGATGAGGGCAGAGAAAAACGGCTGCATCATGAGGCTGTAACTTCTCCCATTTGAGTTTTGTAAAACTTTTGACTACTCTGTACTGTTACACCTGGTAGTACACTTCTATGAGCACTGTTTGGAATTGCATTTCTTGAGTTGTAAACCTGATGCATAGTTATTATTAATATTATGCATCATTAAATATAAAATAATAATAATGATAATGATAATTATAGCAGCAGAGATGGCGCTAGAGTTTGTGAGGCCTTAAGCAAAGCTCATATAAAAGAACCTTGTTGATGTGCTCAACGTGACAGCAAGGGAGAGGCATGAGGTGATGCCCTAGCAAATGTGAGGCCTTAGAAGGTTGCCTATCTGGACTAATTATAGAACTGTCTCTGAATAAAAATGCTGTACAGTGGGTACATGAGAACACAAGTAAATTCAGCAACAGAAGCTTGACTTAAAGGAACAATTGGTAATGAGGGACCTGCTCAAACAAGCTTTTAATCTTTTACGTGATAATGCATGATAATGAATAACGTTTGCAGTATTTCGTTCTCTTACACTTGACTTTCTTATAGTGAAGACATTCAAAATGAACTTTCATAATTGCACTACAAAAGGCTGAGCTAAAAATGTGATGGGCATGTGCCCACGTTCCCTTATGACTCTGTATTAATAGGTATACTTTTGTATTAAAAGTACACTTAATGGACTATTCACTAGCTAATCTAGGTAAATGTAAAACTCTAGACTCTAGAATATTGGAAATAGTCTCCAAGTCAGGTATATTTTTAGTTTGGCTATTCTGGTCTAAAATATTAAATTTACTTTGAATTTCTCAAAATCCATTAGCGAATGATCCTGTGGATTTAATGAATTAAAAAAAATTAATTGACCCTAATGCACAAACACAAACCAGTTTGTAAAATCATCTGTTGCATTCACTCTGTTAATAGGGTTACCGAGTCTAATGATGTTTGCAATGTTTCCCTTTAGATTCGGAATGACTGGAAGTACGTTGCCATGGTAATTGATCGCATTTTCCTGTGGGTGTTCGTGCTGGTCTGTATTCTGGGCACTGCTGGACTCTTTTTGCAACCTCTGTTGCTTGGAAATTGAATATATTTGTATTTGTCATCATTGGGAAATTAGGAATTTATAAATAATAAACATGTTGACTATGTCTTGGTAAGGGTATGTGGGGGTTGCCTTTCTCTAGGGTGTGTTTGGTTTGTGGTATGTTTATGCATGTGCATCAGAAAAAGTTGTCAAGATATCAATTCCGTAAGGTTGTTTATTTTCTATTAACAGTGAGTTGTCACATGGCAGGTAACATACAAAACTAGGCCAAAGTAGCCTAGATAGAAGCAATCTAGGAACACTATAGGGTCAGGAACACAAACATGAATTCCTCACCCTATAGTGTTAAAACCACCATCTAACCGCACTGGCCCCCACTAGCTCCCCTAAATATAGAAAAATCTTACTTTTATTTCAGTCTGTTGCTGCTTGCTCTGTCCCTGATATGTCTGCTTGGCTGACATCATCAGAAGTGATTATCTCAGCCAATCACAATGTTTTCACATAGGAAAGTATTGGATTGGCTAAGACTGTCAAGGAGGCAGATCAGGGGCAGAGCCAACACAAGTCAAACACAGCCCTGGCCAATCAGCTACTCTTCATAGAGATGAATTGAATCAAAAAACATACACATAAAATAAAGAAATATATAAAAAAATGGGCACCGAATTTAAGCCGTAAAGAATTAGAAGCCTAAAGAATAATAATAACTTAATTATTAAAGGGGATGACAAGGGAGGGGGGATCATTATACTCGGCAAAAAATATTATTTGAAGGAGGCATCTAACATCTTGGGGAATGCTGAGTACTATCAGCTTCTCAATGTTGACCTCACAAAAACCTTTGAAAAAGAATTAAGAGTTCTGATTAATTTGGCTTATTACAATGGATCCTTGGACAAAAAAGAAAAGGTTACTTTTTATCTGCCCCGGGTGACATTCCCATTTTTTTACTACCTCCCCAAGGTCCACAAATCCCTAACTAATCCCCCCGGTCGCCCTATAATTTCTTGTATCTGTTTACTCACTTTGCCTATTTCCAGATGGGTGGATTTTCACTTACAAAGGCATGTCCCACATCTACCATCTTATATTAGGGACACAGGGCTTGTCCATACCCTTGTTCAGGATATAAGCTGGTTAGATAACTAGAGTTGGGTGACCATCAATGTGACTGCACTGTACACGAATATTGATCATTCCTTGGGCCTTTCATCAGACCCGTTACTCCCAGAGCAGTAGGCCGATTTTATTTTGAGGTTCACCGAGATTATCTTAAGGCATAAATATTTTCAATTTAATAAAAAAAAATTATTTACGGACTAAAGGAAGCACGATGGGGTAAGTTTCACTTCATCCTTTGCAAATTCATGGGCTACTGGGAAAAGACCATGGTCCTGGATAGCCCGCATTGGATGGAGCAACTCGCCTTCTATCGCAGGTTAAGTGACGATATTCTTATCAGTTGGAGAGGTGAATGGGGGGAGATAGATGAGTTTGTCTCTTATTTAAACATTTAAACATGCATGGGGCTTTTCTTTCATGTTTACCAAACATCACAGAGAGATCAACTTTCTTGACCTTCCTTGAGAGGAAAGGAGAGGGGCATTTGCACCATAACCTATCAAAAGAAGGTTGATGTAAACGGTTTCCTCCATGCAGGAAGCGGACTTAATCTAACATGGATTGCCAACGTACCTCTTGGGAAATTCATTAGATTACGCTGCAATTGCTCTCTTCTGGCTAATTTTGAGAGGGAATCCCTCTCGTTTTGTCAACGATTTATGGAGAAGGCTTATTCATCACAGTCTATCCTCAAAGCTTATTCGAAAGCCAGCACGATGCAAAGAGAGGACCTTATCATTCCGACTTTAACTAAATCCGGGTTTGATACTTTAGAACCCCCTTTCCATACCAGCTATCATGGCACTATTTTAAATCTATTAGGGAAATATAGAGCACCCTATAGGAAAAGAGCAAAGTATAACATCAGCACTAAGGAGGTGAGCTCAGTCCAATTTCCCATTTTCTCTACTGGCTCTAATAAAAAATTTGATAATATAATTGATGTTTTTTATATAAGTATTGGCCGATTCTCCAACTCGATCCATGGCTCAAATTTTGTGTTTCAGATTTTCCAAGGGTCATGTTTAAGAGAGCCTCCAACCTCAAAAAGATACTAGCTCCCTCAAATTTTAGGTCTGGCACCAAAGGTCAGGTTAAAACTCAAGAAGACCTATCATCTTGGAAATTTTCATTGTGGCCGTAGCAGGTGCTTAACTTGTGACTTGTGTTTTTTGTATCATAACATTTCTGTTTTCAGACCTTCCAATAGTGATGAGGTCTTTAAAGTAACCCAAATTATCAACTGCAACTCCTCATTTGTTGTGTATATGTTAACATGCACCTGTGGGTTGCAGTATGTGGGACAGACCACCGGACCCTTAAAGTCCAGATTTAGAGAACACAGATTAGCTATCCTGAATAAGGATAGACAATCTCCTGTAGCTCGCCACTTAGAAAATACTGATCCACTGTCCGTCACCTTGATGGGAATTGAGCTAAGCCCAGCTAAACGAGATCTAGCCAAAAGGAAAAGAGACCTATCAAGGGCGGAATCTAAGTGGATCTTCAAACTCAATTATTTGGCCCCAAATGGCCTTAATGAGGAACTCGATCAGTGTTGAGTTTTAACCTGATCTTCTTTAACCTGATCTTATTCTATTCTTCCTGTTCTGTTCTTCAAACGTTTACTTAAGTTGTATGGCCTTATCATATATCTTTGGGACATTCAGGTTCACCTTCAGTAGATCCTGATGTATGCACTAACTTCTATATTTCTCTTACTGTTATGTTATCTGATCTCTGATGTATCTAGGTTAATTTTCAGCAATTTCTGATACTTGTATTAAACTTCTATAACTGGTATTCTACATGATCCCTGATATATACGTGACACATTTGGATATATTTATATATATTTTTTAAGTTTTACAAATTTCCTTTTCCTTTTCTTTTTTAGATATATTTCGATTCCTTTATTCAATGTAAACATTATGGAGATTTATTATCATTCCAATCTAGTACCTAGCTCTTATGTGCCTGTGATTGAACTGGTATCTTTTGTATACAGCTCTGATGAATAGTGAGATCTATATATATATATATATATGAATATATATATATTAACTGGTATTTTTGTATCCAGCTACAGTGAATAGCGAAGTCTTTATGTATGTTTTGGTCTGAGACGAACAACGACCATTTAAACACACCCACAATATTGTTTATGGTTACATCATCTATTACATGTGATCAATATTTAGTATATATATATATATACTTTCCATCTCAAAAACATTGCGCGCATCCGCCCCTACTTAACGCCAGATGCGACTAAGGTGTTGGTCCATTCCACTGTCCTTTCTTGCCTTTACTACTGTAATCTGCTTCTCAGTGGTCTTACGTGCTCCCAACTTGCGCCGTTACAGTCCATAATGAATGCTCATTTTCCTGTCCGCCCATACCTCCCATGCCTCACCCTTCTGTCAGTCCGTACATTGGCTTCCTATAAAATATAGAGCTCAATTAAAAATTTTGGTTCTTGCTTTCAAATCGCTACATAATGCTGCTCCCACCTATCTATCCTCCCTTATACACAAGTATGTCCCGTCTAGGCCCCTATGATCTGCTGACGACTTACGTCTATCTTCTGTCCGTACTCCCACCTCTGATGCTCGCCTTCAAGATTTCTCGAGGGCTGCACTGTTCCTTTGGAACTCGCTTCCCTCTTCTGTTAGACGCTCACCCAGTCTCCACTCCTTCTAAAAATTGTTAAAAACCCACTTCTTCATAAAAGCGTATCAATTAAACTGTTAATAGCTCCTGACGGATTCCTCTTCTGCAACTGTCACTAGTCTAATACTATCCTTACCTTCTGTGTCATTTTACCCCACTCCTTCTAGCATGTAAGCTCATTGAGCAGGGCCCTCAACCCCTCTGTTCCTGTGTGTCCAACTTGTCTGGCTACAACTACATGTCTGTTTGTCCACCCATTGTAAAGCGCTGTGGAATTTGATGGCTCTATATAAATAGCATAATAATAATAATAATAATAATATATACATATATATTTTTTTCAGCTTAAACACAAATAATGTTTACATTAATCCTTTCATGACACTATAGATACAGCACTCTATGTGTTCAGTACCTAGCTATTTTCTTTATTTCCATTTCATCTTTATTTTTTATTTTTTGTGTTTTCATATTCATATTTATGTTGCGTTTCTATTATTTTTATATAGTGTCTACCGATTATCATTATTACTTTTCATATATGTAATGCCAGACCTATCATTTTTATTCACAGCTACACTATAAATAATATATAAATGTTTTTGTGCCAGGGATAAATCGTGGAATTTGACCATTTCCAAGAATATACTTGCAACATTCTTGTTTGTGATTTTGTAAAAGTAAAAACACACTCACACATTCCATTATTTCATTACATAATTTAAAAGTTTCTTTTTATTTTTTGCACCATTATTGGTTAATTCTGTTGAGTCACTTAATGGTCAATTAGGCTAGTCCCATCTATATACATGGTTCACCCCATGTTTCGATTTAATGCCCTACCATCTGATTGTGAGGGTTTATAAGGCAATAACCCCCACCTGCACGTTGTCTTGAGAAAGTCGTGTGGTAAGGACGAAACACGTAGATGCTGTGCTTTTCCCCCCAGCAAATTTGCCTTCACTGTTTGAAATGCTGAGCATTCAGCTAGTATCCAGCAAGGAGCCGCAGTCTTTTGCGAAGTTCCCGACCGCGGCACTATCTCCACAGCACACCCCCTACGCGATCATCTCCACAGAGGCTCAATGCAAGTTTGTCTATCATTAATCCATGCTTCACAGTGCATTGCAAGACTTTTTTTTTTTTGGAGCTCTTACTCATATTTTCATCTTCCGGAGTTACTCCTTGGTTTCTGAGGGGCCCCCTGAAGTCAGGTACTTTCTGCTTCGATGCATCATCGGTATATCAGTGGGGTCATTTAGATATCTATTGTTTATGCTAGGTACCCATTTATTTTTATATATTTCTTTATTTTCTGCATATGTTTTTTGTACATTTGATTGCCATATAATTCTCACTCCCAGAGGGATATACACCTAGTATCTACTATTGTTTGCTACTAGTGTTTTATATATATTTTTGTTTCTGCAAGAAACCTTCAACCCTCTCTGTGCCTTCTCTAAACTTCCCATTTTGGGCTGCAACATGCTGCTTCTATGTTAATTGAAACTGTTGCAGTTTTCCCCATTTGGGAAGTCTATGTTACAACTTTTGTAAGCAAATGATACTTTTGTGTGTCTTATACCCCTATCTAGAGGTTATATTGTATTTTTTTAGGAATAGTAATTATACATTGTTTTTGTTGTGATCGTTCATTAAAATGTATTCTTATTTTTATATCTATAGAAACATCTCCTGTTTTGTTTTTTATTCATTCATTTTGTATTTTTGCAGCGCACATACTATGTTTTAAAATCCAATATACTTATGTCAAACCATTACAAAAGTTTGGAACGGAAATAGGGGATGGCATCTGAGACATGCTGGTACCATAACCACTACAGCAGAATGACGTGGTTGTAATACTTAGAAAGTCCCTTTAACTACAACACCTCTAAATGATGCTTGTGGCTCTTTCTAGTTGTTGGCCTGCTGATGCTTTCTAGGAATTATTAAACGGTATATATTGGATGTTAATTTACATGGCACAAATGGTGTAGCAGTAAACTATAAAAATGTGGAAAAAAATATATTTTAGCAATTTGACTACTGCATTTGAAGTGATTTGTGTTGCCTTAAAGTGGCAAAATGATTTTTTTTTTGTCAGATTAATTGGTTTTTAAAATATTGTAGAAATAAAACCTAGTTGCACAGTCACCTGGGTTGAGGAGGCTAACAGTTCCCTTTGGGTTGTTAAATTAAATAAAACAGTCCCTTCCCATTGAAAAAATTTCCTTGGTCTCCCAACAGTTCAATGTGTCCTGTATACGCATGCATCTATTTGGACACAAATAGCAACACATGAATAGAAAGCATATAACCTTACTGAGACTCAATGAGACATAGTCACCATTATCTGCTCTACTCTCTGTGGATCAAAGAAAAACAAGTCTTCCAAGGATTTATCTTTGATTGAAGAGGTCAGTTGAAACTCTGTAGGAGAAGTGAGTGAAAACTCTACAAGGAGCCAAAACATTAATAATGGTCATGACTCAAAAATTAATTATCATTGTGTCTACCAGTGTGTTTGTATGTATGTCTAATAATCTTCATTGTTTACAGCAGTAATGGCATTAGACACTGTGGTCAAAATGAGAATCTCTGTTCTATGTAGAATTAGTTGGAAATAGATGGTGTGCCACATTCAGAGATCAGCATTGCATTTGAAAGTCCATTTAAAAGCAATGTAGTGCATGCTAAAAAAATTTAGTACAGTACACATTTCAAGAGTATTGATGTATATACTGAATGTAGTGATTTTGAGGCACTTAGAGAGCTATGCAAAATTAAGGAAAAAATAAATAACTCTGAATTCATCATTTTTTTTTTTATAGGTTACATAATTAACCAGATACAAAATGCTTTGTCCAATACAAGGTCCAGAGACTAATAAAATATGGTGCCAGAGATAGTGTAGTAAGGAAATACATATATATTGTGTGATAAAAATAATAGGTACATAATAGCAAAAACGCAATTTAGCAAATATGCCATAAGGTGCTAAAATGAAGAAACACGACGTTTTTCTCAAAGTATGACCCTGTCAGCTAAAAGAGCCAGACAGTGAGTAAATACATCTGTGTCAATAAAAGATAAGAACACAGTTAGTGGAAAATGTATTTATACTTACCTTAATTTTCTTTTCCTGGCAGCAAATACACATGGGTTAGCTCCTCCCCTTACAGCCGATAGGACAGGAATAAAACAAACCTTTAAAAGGCGTATCCCTGCATAGGTACCTCAGTCAGTAACAAGCTCCTACAGAAGAAGCAAAACCAACACTGGGTGGGTAGTGTATGCTGCCATGAATAATAGCCAAGAAAAGAAAATTACGGTAAGTATGAATACATTTTCCACTTTCCTGGCTAATCATGGCAGCATATACACATGGGAATACTCAAGCTTACCGGTGAGGGTCAGAAACATACATAACTGGCAATCAAATTATCAGAACAATTCAACATAGATTAGAAGATTGAACTGAATCAAGGACGTGATGTCCAAATTGTGCCTCATTGATTGCTTCAATGTCCAATATATAATGCAGGACAAACTAGTTCAAAGAGGTCCAAATGCCAACTTTACAAAGTTTCCGCAGAGACCATTGCCATGGAAGCTCACAATGCTGCAACTGCACTAGTGGAGAGTGCCCTGAAATCCTTTGGTACCGGTAGAGAAAGGCAGGATTTCTGGTGCTAAATGCAAGACAACCATATCCTGTTGAAGTTCAGTGAATGGGGGTACACAGGATCAAGCCTGGAGTTCACACATTCACCTTGCTGAGGTACCAGCCACCAGCAACAGCACCGTCTGTGCTAACATCATGGAAGCTCCTGCTAGATCTTTGAATGATGGTTTAGTCAGAGCCTGTAAGACCAGTGGTAGGTCACAAATAGACCTCAACACCCTCAGTGAAGGCTTGCGTTTAATTACTGCTTATATGAAGCAAAGCACCAGAGGCTCCAATACTCAATGGGTATTCTGCAGTATAAGTAGAGAATGAAATTGATAAGCATTCACCTTAGGCAGGATTCTGATGCTAAATGGAAGACAACCATATCCTGTTGAAAATTAGTGAATGGAGGGACACAGGATCAGGCATGGAGTTCACCTTCACACATTCACCTTGCTGAGGTACCAGCCACAGCACTTTCTGTGCTGACACCATTGAAGCTCATGCTAGAGGCTTAAATGGTGGTCTAGTCAGAGCCTGTAAGACCAGAGGTAGGTCACATATGGACTTCAACACCCTCAGTGCAGGCTTGAATTTCATTGCTTCTTACCTGAAGCAAAGCACCAGGGGTTCCAATGCTCAATGGGTACTCATCCATGTGTAAAGTGCCAATCTGTGCTCCTCTAGAGTGTTATAATTCAGACCATATCAAGGCCTGATTGAGGAGTAATTCCAACCTCTATTCTTGAGACCAACAGACAAATGCATGCCAAGTTTGTAATCTGTAAAGTATTTATAGGACTGTAAGAGGATCTTAATGGCCGTCTCAGGGTTGCCTATACTTCTAGAGACACCAGCCTCAACACCAGAGCTTAAGGATCTTGGTGTGTCAAGGGATTCTGTAATAGGTCTGGATATACTGGAATATCCCTTGGAGGTTCCAGAATCATCTTACTCATCACATGAGTTTAGAGTCTTCGTGGCCTTCCACCGTCTCCTTTGAATTTCCTTTAGGAACGTTGAAGACAGGAAAAATATGTACATCAGACTGAAATTCCACATTTGAGTGAGCGTATCCTGACCCTGAGCATTCTGGTCCTAAAAACGAGAAAAAAAAAAATCTTCTGGATCTGGTAGTTCAGAAAAGTGGCCATGAGATCTACATAGGGTATCAGCCAAATCTGAGTCAACCCTGAGGATATGTCGGGACAAAGTTGCCATTCCACCTTGACCACTGTTACTTGGCTCAGGTAAACAGCCATTGTATTCTGCGCCCTTGGTTGTTCTCCTGTGCCCTGCTCATCATGGGCTGTAATTGCTTCATCAATAAGTGCCTGTTAGATCCACCTTGATGATTGATAGAATACATTTGCATTGCTATTTGAGCTAATATGGACCCACTTGCTCTTTAGCAACCTTCCGAAGTGAAGAAGAGCCCTGAAAATGACATTCCATAACCTTTGATGGAAATATTGTTCCTTCCCTTATCCACAGACCTTGTGTAACATGGTCCAGACAATGTGTATCCAATCCTTGAAAACTGAAATCTGAGCTTACAATTGCCCAATGAAGTTCAGTTCATAGGAAACCCAGAAACAGATTTTCTCCTTCAGCTACCAAGTTAGGTGTAACTTCACAGATGGTGACATCGTCAGTGGCTGACTCTAATTCATCTTTCTCTTGTTGAACTGAGATAGGAAGGACCCTTGAGGAATCCTGAGATGCCATTGAGCCCATCTGACAAGTCTGATGGTGGAAGCCAGGATTCCTAGTAGTTGCATCTACTTTCTTGCTGTTACCAAGCGAAAATGAAAAAACTGGAAGAGAAAACTTCCACGATCTGTGGAACTGTTCCTGGGATAGGGGAAAGCAGAGTATAGAATATTCCACCCAGAAAAGTCATCCTCTGAGCTGGCATGAGACTGCGCTTTTTGGTATTCATTAAGCAGCCAAACTTCAGGCGTTCTGCAAGAACTCTATCCCTCTGTGCGCCTGCCTTCTGTGGGTCTGAGGCTACCAGTAGTAGATCATCCAGATAATGGAACCAGGTGGTGTTCTGGACTCTCAATATCACTATAAGCTTCACCTAAGGTTCTTGAGGCCAAATGGTAGGGCTCGAATTGGAAGTTCTCTTCTGAGATCATGCTGAAATTCTAGGCTGATTGGAATTATAGTAATCATCCTTAAGATATGGAAATAGGGAACTTGTCCTTCCAAATTTCTGGGGATATGGATCTGATTTACTCCATCCTGATGGCTCTGTCATTCAGCCTATTGCTGGCCCTTCTTAGGTCCAGTATAGACTTCCATGTGCCTTTACTTTTAGCTTCAGAAGAGAGGCGAACATTGTCCCAGGAACCGCTCTTGTTAAGGGACCTAAGAAATCACACTTGATCCAGAAGGTTTCAT